GTTTCGGGCAAGGAGGAGAGCCCGGGCCCGGGTGGGCGATGGCATGTCAGTCAGACTGGATGTGGAGGCCTTGGAGAGGCAGCTGTTTCTGGAACCTTCTCAGGTGCTTGAGGGCCCTCCAGAGCCTCAGGAAGCCAGAGGCCCCAGCAAGGCCCAGCCCGAGGTAGAAACCAAGACAGAGCCCGACGGCATGATGGCCCTCACTTCTTTGGCCCCAGAGCCTTCTCCCCGGGGGCTGGAGACCAACCTCCTGACCTTGGGAGCAGTCTCCCCAGCTGTGGTCTCTTTTGGGACCGTGACCACCCCAGCTGACAGACTGGCCTTGATGGGGGGCCTGGAGGGCTTCCTCGGCAAGATGGCAGAGCATGGGCTCCGGCCCAACATCAAAACCCTCACGCTGCTTGCTGAGGTGGTGGAGCCCGGGAGTCCCGCTGAGTCTTCACTGCTGACCGTCCTGGACGTGCACCAGGTGGAGGCAGACGTGACGTTCTTCAATACGCTGATGAGGAAGAAGAGCAAGCTTGGAGATCTGGAGGGGGCGAAGGTGAGGGGCATAGAGGCAGGCACCAGGTTCAAGGCTGGGGTCCCTCCTTCCCCTTCCCTCCCCTGACCTTCTGACTGCAGGACCTGGCTCGCCTGCAAGGGGTGTCATCTGTTTCTGCAGTAGGTGGGCAGACTGCCTGGTGCCTCTGTTTGGGGCCTGGGCCTGGGCTTGGGCAAACTGACAATCAAATGGTGAACCAGCCAGCCACTCTCCTCGTCCCCGTTGAGGAGCTCACAGGTGGGTGGAGGCAGACATCAAACATCCTCACACTGCTGAGGGGCACATGGGACATGTGGCCTAAGAGGCTGGTAGCTCCCGAGGGTCCCCACACTTCAGCCACATGCCCTGACACACACACACACGCGCACACACTGAGTCAGTCCTCTGTGTTACATGCCATTATACGAGCTTCCCATCCACTCCTCTCTTCACTGGTTGCACCGCAAGGCTGTGCTCGTACAAGGCTTCCCCCATTTCACAGATGGGGACACGGCAGCCATCATGGAGTTTTGTCCATGTGTCTGTGTCATGTCTCTTTTGTCATCACTGAGCAGGGCTCCTGTGAGCATCAAAGGTGAAAGAGACACAGCCTCTGCCTTCAGGCCCACAGTGCAGAGCACACCTTCCTCTAGACAAGCTAAACATGACAGCCCCTCCCTGAGCTAGGCAGGCTGCAAGGGCATCTTCTTACTCAGCCCCTGGCCCGGAGAGCCTCAGCTGTTACTTTCCAAATTGTCTCCCCCCTTAGACATTAAAGGCTGATGGCCAGAACGGATGACCGACAGTGGAGCAGAGACACAGGAAGGTGCAGGGATTCATGTTCCCATTCGTGTTTGGGGAGAAGGCAGGGTGTCCTTGCAGAGCAGCTGAACTCGGGAGCTGAGGGCTTGCGAGCTGAGTGGAGACCAGCATCCAGTGTGGCTACAGAGGGGGTTGCGAGGCCCCTGAAGACTGCTGTGTCCCTGAGGCCTGCGGCACCCAACCACGGGCTTCAACCAGGGAAGCCTCTCGCTGGACCTGGTGGGTGACAGCTTACGGTAGTGCCACATCTGTTCCCACAGGCGCTGCTGCCACTCTTGGCACAGAGGGGGATACTCCCCAACCTGAAGACGTTCTGTAACCTGGCCATCGGGTGCCACAGGCCGAGGGACGGCCTGCAGCTGCTTGCAGACATGAAGGTGAGTGGGTCCAGGCCTGGGCAGGACTCATGGTGCTGGGAATTCAGTCTGAGCGGGTACTTGGGAAGAAAGCTGGGCCTGAACCCCGAAGTCTGCACGAAGACAGCATAAATTGTGTCTGGGGGGCGGGGAGTGGGGCTCTAGCTTCAAGCGTAGAATGGTCATCGGCCCAATGTGAGAGAAAGCGGACCCTGGTAGGTGCTGCAGGAGCTGGCATTGAAAGCAGGGGGTGTGATAGTCGTGAAGGTGGTTGCAGTGGGAGAGATTGAGGGAGGTTGTGGGGAGACTGGCCCCGGCTCTGGAGGGATGGAAGGTATGACCAGAGCAGGGGTTGCGGTAAACCCATAGCCAAGAGCTGAGGAGGTGGTCTCCTGCATGTATTTCACTGCCTGAGTCCACTGATCTCTGAGCAAGTTCTTCAGGACTAAGAGAGAGGGTAGGGTCCCCAGCTTGGTGGGCTGGGCCTGCCATGCAGGGCACACACTTTCTTCTTGGAGCAGGGAGGATGGCCCATCGTTGCCGCAGGGTTCTGCCCTTCTTGGCCTGGTTGCTGGTCTGCAGAGCAGGCCTGAACGGCAGGGTAAGCCCCCAGCCTGATACGCACAGTGGGCTGCTTTGTCCCAACAGTGGCCATCTCCTTGCTAATTATATGTCTGTGATGTTCCAGAAATCCCAGATGACCCCCAACACCCACATCTATAGCACCCTCATCAACGCCGCCCTCAAGAAGCTGGACTACACCTATCTCATTGACATCCTGAAGGACATGAGGCGGAACAGAGTCCCAGTGAATGAGGTGGTCATCCGCCAGCTGGAGTTTGCAGCCCAGTACCCCCCCAGCTTTGATCGGGTGTGTGCCAAGTTCCTGCTCGCCTGTCCTCCCTGGGGCCGGCCTTTCAGTGGTGGGATTCCATTGCTTTAAACTGTCAGTGGCTTCCCTTAGAAATCCCAAATTCTTTTTTAAAAATTATTATTTTAAATGTTTTATTTATTTCTGAGAGAGACAGCGTGAGCAGGGGAGGGTCAGAGAGAGAGGGAGACACAGAATCTGAAACAGGCTCCAGGTTCTGAGCTGTCAGCGCAGAGCCCGACGCGGGGCTCGAACCCACGAACTGTGAGATCATGACCTGAGCCAAAGTCAGATGCTTAACTGGCTGAGCCACCCAGGTGCCCCACTCCCCAATTTTTCAAACCACAGCCTGTGAGTCCCTGTCCCTGTGGCACATTTAATCTCAGACCGCTCTTCCCTGTATTCACGGTCAGTCCCACTGGCCTCTTTTCCTGCCTCAGGGTTTTTGTATTCCCTCTGCCTTGAATAGGCTCTTTTTCCCACAACTGGTTCCTCATCCTGGGGGTCTCAGCTTGAATGACTTTCTCAGGGCTGCCCCTCCCCATCATGCACAGTACTGTTCCTTTTTGCTATGCTTTACAACCTGGAATTACACGTACACATGTGACTTTCACCTTTGTAAAACTATAAGCCCCTAGAGCTGGAGACTGCCTAGCTCCGCGGGCTGCCCAGTGCCTGCTGCCTAACAGTCTGTTTGTCAAGTGAATCAGACAGCAGCAGGGCTGTGAGAGGATCTGCTTTGTACTGGCCACTTCTCTCCCTATTGTTTTGAAGGCGGGGGTGGGGGGTTAAATTTTAGGTCTACAGAGCCAGACCCTGTGTTGACTCCAGAGCAGCTGTGGCCTGGAGGAGCACAATCCCAGAGGGTAGGGACTTGGCAAGGACACACCAAGGATGGGGTCAGGGACAGCTGTGCAGGTCCAATGCTGGAATGTCATTTTGAAGGCCCAGTAATTCATGAGACGGCAGTAGAGAGAGTGCCCAGCAGAGGGCATAGCAGAGCCTCTTTGAACTGTTGGTTGTCTTCTCATTGGTTCTTCAGAGTTCTTTATTCTGGATCCTAATCTTTTGTTGGTTCCACATTGCAGTATCTTCTGGTTTGTGGATCTCTTTACTCTGTGGTGTAGGGCCTCGGGGTCTTTTCAGGTTCAGTCAGGTCACCAGGCTACCAGAGCCTCAAAGCTTTTTGGATTCAAATCACATTCGTATACCCTTAAGACCCTTACGACGATGATGTATTTCCATTTGAGGTTGTCATCTTTTTGTTTTATGTACTTTCAGGATGTATGAGGTACATAGAGTTTAGAATAGTTGAATCTTTTAAATCAGACTGTTGTCATGTGGTAACAGTCTTCAACTTGGACATTTTTTGTCTATTTTTTTCTATGTATTCCTCTACCAGCTTTCCTTTAGGATCTGCCAGGTTCACGCCATTTGCTCTTTTGCTTCCTGCCTCTCCAGAGACCACTGCAGCAGCACCGAGAATGGAGGAAGGCATTCACGCTGTGGAGGCAGAGTTAGCGGCACCCAGGGATTCTAGCTTGGGGGGCTGGGGTGACATCCCTGGTGTAGCAAGGCGGCTTGTATTTCGAAGGACCATTAGCAGAGGGAGTCTGGTCTACTCCACTGAAGCTTTGTTTCTCTATAGTAAGCTGCTAAGGTACTGAACAGCTCTTCTGCCCTCTCCCTTTAACCACCTAGGAGCAAGAATAGCTTCCCTGAGGTCTGAGCCAGCTGCCATGGTTTGGGATTGATTAGCTACGGTAGCAGGCAGTGACTAAGGGCTCCTCTGAACCCCATGCTTTTCCGTTTATAGTACAAAGAGAAAAATACCTACTTGGAGAAAATTGATGGCTTCCGAGCTTATTATAAGCAATGGCTGAAAGTGATGCCAGCAGAGGAAACCCCCCACCCATGGCAGCAGTTCCGGACCAAGCCGAAGGGGGACCAAGACGCCATCGCTGAGGCTGACATGCATGGAGGCCTTGAAGGCAGGTGAAGGGAGGCTCCGGGGACCTCTGGCAGAGCTGAACAGAGTGTGTGGTGTTTACAGGGCTCTGTGGAAGCCCTGGGATACTTTCTGTAGCCATCTCGCAAATGTGTTCCTGTGGCCTCCAGCGTGAGGACCCAGAGGAAGAGCTGCAGCATTCTGCAGGCATTGGTCCGGGGGCACACTAGGCCCAGGGCCTGACAAGACCATGGCAGGTCCAAGAGCAGCTTGGCACGCCATCTCAGGTCATCCTGGCCTTGGGAGGTTATCATCCCCATCACTGATGGGGAAAGTGAACTGGTTCAGAGTCACACAGCACCTGTGAGATGGAGTGAGGACTGAGTACCCAAGGGTGACAGGTCCCTAGGGCCTGGTGCTCACCCACTGGTGAGCCATCTACAGATGGCTGGCTCTCTGGGAGAACAAATGCAGGGCCCAAAAGGTTTAAAAGTTTTATTTCTACAAATCATAGCTAATAAACACCAAAGCCTTAATGTGTAGAGACCATGCTCCCACTCGGGCCTGGAGCACCGCTCTGTGAGAAGAGCTGCTCCCAGGAGAGGACATGATGTGACAGGCAGAAACCTGTGAAGTCCAAGGTTCAGGGTGAAGAGAGGTTAGGGCCCGAGTGCCTCAGCCAGAGCAGCCTCGGCAGCCGCAGTGCGTGCACTCGATGATCCGGCCCTGCAACAGAGGAAAGCTGAGACACCACTTCCACCACATGGCACCCCTCCCTGCACGCACAGCAATCCTCCTGCCAAAAAGGGTGGTGGGACATTCAGTCTATGGGACACTCCTCAGAAGGGCCTCCGTGACAGACAGAAGCAGCTGCTGTGGACGCTGAAGCTACACTTCTGTGCACTTAATTTATGCAAATTCTATGTGACACACTTGTGCCCCCCCCCAAAAAAAAGGTAAAAAAATCTGTGAACAATTCTTGTTATTCTGTGAAATGAGTATGACATGCAATGAGCTGGACGTTGGTCTGTGGACTACTCAGGGGGCTCAGTGCCAGGGGGCCCCAGGCTGGGGAACTAGTGGCGGCACCGAGGAAGAGGATATATGCCTGAGTCTGTATGGCAGCAGAAGAGTCCTGTCCCCTGGGCCAGGTAGGTGGGCCCCAATGTCTGGCTGGGGGCCTGCCCAACAAACAGAATGCCCTAGAGCAATGATTTGTGTTGATTTTCCTTTTTCCTCTTATTTGGAGGAGCAAGACCCTTACCTAAGCAATTAAGATCAGGAGGTAAAACCCAACTGAAGTTAAAGCAAGCTCTCTCCTGGCCACAGGACTGGGGCAACACCCCTGACCCAGTGCCACCAAAGAATGCTGGGGCTCTGAGGGGAGGCTTCTGCCACTTCACCACCTCTCCCTGCCCTTACCAGAAAATCCACACCTGGATTCTTCCTTCGGGGAGGCAGCCCTCATTCAATGCCCACTGCTCTTTGACCTTCCAAGTGATTCAGAGAGATAGAGCTACCTGCTGAGCCCTTGGCGCGGAGTCAAAGCTCTATAAACTGTAACTATTCTGCAGCATAGAGGGACCCTGTGATGAGGCACCTGTGTGACAGGTGGCCAGCTGGGAGGTGGGCAATCCAGGATGACCACCAGGCTGGGCCCACAATGAGCAGCTGAGGGTGCTGCACTCAAAGGCCACTAAAGCTAACATCACAGTAACTGTCTGCTTCCTTCTCTAGCTCCAGTTCAGAGAGGGTGACGCTGTGGGCTCAGCTACTGCATACCCAGCATCATTCCGGAGCTCCCTAGTCTAGTTTGAGAACAAAGTTCTGACAGAAGAAATACAGTGTAATTCTGAAGAAAAGGGGGCCTGGATAAAAGGGTACCTGAAGTGTAAGCACCAGAAGGGGAGGATAGGGATGTCTGCTTCCTGGCCCGTGCTTCCCTGACTCAGCCTCCCCACCCCCAGGTCATATATGAGGAAGGACTTCAGTAACTTGCCCAAGGGTGGAGTTGAGACTGACCCCCAGGCCTAACATGCCATTGCTGCCAAACTGCCGGGTGTGGGTTCCCAGAGAGGGATTTCCTCCCTGGTGAATGGCCAGCAGTCCATCCAGCAATAGGACTACATTCCAGCCCAACAAAACAGTGTAAACTCCCCTGGCACCATCCAGGGCAGACTTCTGAACTGGAAAGGGAACCTCAAACTTGATCATCAGATGTTACAGGGCGGAGACCTTACTTACCACTTCCAGCTTGCTTTTGGGGACCCGGCAAATGCAGTTCGTCCCAAAATTGGTGTCCCGTGTCTGAATGCACCGCAGGCAGCATAAATTCTCATACCCCTGCTTTTTCCATTTTGCGATCAGGTTTTTATCCGCGTAGCCTTCTTTAATACAATATTCATATAGTTCTGCCCAGAAGATGGGGAAAGGGCATCAGACCACAGTATAACAAAGCTGCCCCAACCCATCACCACTCTTCCTTAAAAAGACTATTCAGCTAACATTAGCTCCTCTGCACGCCTTTTTTAGTGATAAGAAAAATGACATTTGCTGAGGCTAGAAGAATAAGAACCATTAAACAAATCTGAGAGCTACTCAAGTTGTCCAGGCCAAGAGAATTTAGCCAATTACCTCTGCTTATGGCTTTCCGCTTATAAAAGAGATCAAAAATATAGCGGGTTTTCTGGTGGTGGATCCTGAAGATGGGCCACAGAGATTCCACTTTCCTTTTTCCCTCATGAGGTTCTGTTTCAGCTGGGGAGAAAAAGGGGTGTGTTTGTTTTGTTGTGGCAGGCAGCGTTCAATCACAGGACACTTTTGTTTTTTAAATAACTAAGGATAAAGGGATAAAGAATAAATCTTACTCATACCCTCTAGGTTTGCTATCATCAAAAAGACAACAGGTGTTGAGGATGTGGAAAAACTGGATCATAGGCTGCTAGTGGAAATGTAACATGGTGTAGCCTAGCCTCTCTAGAAAGTCTGGCACTTCCTCTGGGAGTTAAACAGTTACCATGTGCCCTAGCAGTTCCCTGCTAGGTATATACCCAAGAGAACTGAAAACACACATGCACATGAAACTCCTCTATGAATGTTCAAGCAGCATTATTCATAATAGCCAAAAAGTAGAAACAACCCAGCCTCCATCAGCTGATGAACAAATACACAAAATGTAGCCCACCTACAGGACAGACTATCAGAATATCATTCAGCCATAAAAAACTAATCCAGTATGGACTTGCTACAACATGGATAAAACCTGAAAACAAGTGAAAAAAATTCATACCCAAAGCCCACCTACTGGATGACTGTCTGGAGAGATAGAAAATAGGTTAGTGGTTGCCTCAGACTGGGAGAGTTGGAGAGATGGGGGGAGGGGGGCACTACTAAAGGGTGCAGGGTTTCTTTTGGAGGTAATGGTTGCTTGACTCTGAATATACTGAACACCCCTTAACTGAATACTTCAAAAGGGCAAATTTTACAGAATATAACTTGTCTCAATAGAGCTGTTATTTTTTTTTTTTTAAATGTTTTATTTATTTCTAGGAGAGAGAGAGAGAGACAGCGTGAGCAGGGAAGGGCCAGAGAGAGAGGGAGTCACAGACTGAAACAGGCTCCAAGCTGGCAGTCAGCACAGAGCCTGACGCGGGGCTCGAACCCACAAACCACGAGATCATGACCTAAGCGAAAGTCGGACGCTTAACTGACTAAGCCACCCAGGCGCCCCAATAGAGCTGTTATTTTTAAAAAGATAAAAAATGAGCTATGTGATTTAAACATGATAGAAGTGGCAATTCTTTCTCTTAGCAGTTGCAAGTTGATCTTTCCCATGTCGACTCAGTTTTTAGAGAATGGAGAAAGGGGAGGAGTGGTCAAGAAAAATGTACCTCCATGTCTCCAACTTTGGAGAAATTCTATGACTTAGGTTGTAGAATTCAGCTCTGTGAACAGGATTCTGTGATCCAAGCAAAAGGCAGGTGTTGAGGCCTGAGTAGTGTGCACCGTGTGCCTGCTACAGCCGAGGCCCTGATCTAGCGCTGGAGACACGGCAGTGGGGCAGACAGAGCAGGTCTGGAGCCCCGTTCTGAGGAGGGAAGCAGGTCAGCACCTGGTGGTAAGTGGTAGAGGCCAGAAAGAAGAGAACACAGAAGGGGATGGCAAGTGGGGAAAGGGGCAGGGGGGGACTACTTTATACAGGTGATCAAAGAAGGCACAAGAGGGACATCTGATCGGAGACCTTAAGAAACAAGGGGTGGGCTGGAGACTGGGTGAAACTGGTGAAGGGGATCATAGGTACAAGCTTCCAGTTAGAAGACAGGTCCTGGGGATGTAAGGCACAGCGTGGGGACTATAATTTATAATACTGTACGGTATGGTTGTAAGGATTGGATGTTCTTGAGTTAATCTTTTCATATACACAAATCAAGTACATCTAAAACACAAATGTTTTATATCAATTAGGTCTCATTTTATTTTATTATATTTTAATGTTTTATTTATTTCTAGGAGAGAGAGAGACAGCGTGAGCAGGGGAGGGTCAGAGAGAGAGGGAGTCACAGACTGAAACAGGCTCCAGGCTCTGAGCTGGCAGTCAGCACAGAGCCCGATGCGGGGCTCGAACCCACGAACCGCGAGATCGTGACCCAAGCGAAAGTCGGACGCTTAACCGACTAAGCCACCCAGGCGCCCCCAATTAGGTCTCATTTTAAAAGGGGGGAGGGGGTGGGGCACCTGGGTGGTTGAGTTGCTTAAGGGGCCAGCTTTTGATTTTAGCTCAGGTTTTGATCTCATGGTTCATGGGTTCAAGCCCCATGTCAGGCTCTGCGCTCATAGTGTGGAGCCTGCTTTGGATCCTCTGTCTCCCTCTCTCTGCTCCTCCCCTGGTCATGCTTGCTCACTTACTCTCTCAAAAACAAATGTCAATAAAATTTTTTTAAATAAAGGGGGAGGGGCAAACATACTCATAAGGCAGAGCAAACAGAAATGCAAAGGCCCTGAGGCAGGACTACTTAGGGATTCAGGAACAGCAGTTGGGGGGCAGCAGGTAAGGGAGAGAGAAGGGATGGAGCTAAGGAGGGGGTTACAGCGAGACAGTGTTTGACCTGGAAGGCCACAGAAGGACTTTGTTTTTTAAACATTGATTTATTTTTGAGAGACCAAGAGAGACAGAGTGTAAGCCGGGGAGGGGCAGAGAGAGAAGGGGAGACACAGAATCTGAAGCAGGTTTCAGGCTCCGAACTGTCAGCACATGGCCTGACGTAGGGCTGGAACCCATAAACTGCGAGATCATGATCTGAGCTGAAGTAGGACGCTTAACCAGCTGAGCTACCCAGGTGCCCCAGGGCTCTGAGTTTGCTCTGATGGGGAGGTGAGCCACTGGAGGGTCCTGGGCAGACTGTGATCTGACAACTTAAAACCCTCACCCTTGCTGCTCTGTGAAGAAGACTGTAGGGAGAGAAGTAGGACGCTACCATAGTAATCCAGGTGAGGTTATCTTGGGCAACATGGTGGGATTTAAAAGAAATCAAGCTTTAGACTCATGGATTTTCTAACGTTGCACTATGGAGAATTTAAAATATACGCAAAACAGCATATTGGACTCCCAGGTACCTATCACACAGATTCAAACATTCCTAACATTCAGCTACTTTTATTTTATCTGGTTCTCCCCACTTCTGGAGGTGAGAAACTGGAGTATTTTAAAGTGATCTCAAACCATCAAGTGTCACATTCATAAATACATATGTATCTCTAACATGTTAAACACTTCTCCTTATTAGTCTCCACACTTAGTTCAGTTTTCACTCATTGCCTCAAAAACACCTGACAATGCGTGTGTCCAAATTAAGGTCGAAACAACATGCAGATGTACTTTGTTGATCTGTCTCAAGTCTTCTATATCTGTAACAACCTTCCCTCTCCATCCTATCCCCCTTCTTAGGAATACAGAGGTCTTGGATGCTGGGATAGGAAAAAAGAATGAAAGGAGTCCAGGATGGTTCTGTGGTTTGTGGCCTCAGAGTGGAAGCAGCTCTGGGGTGGGTGAATGGTTCAGTTCTGGACATGGTTAAGTTTGAGATGTCCAAAGGGGGCCACTCCATAGGCAGCTGGTATAGAGTCTAGTTTTGAGCCACAGCTGGAGAAGACGTGGTCATCCAGGTAGAGTGTGGAAAGCCATGTATCTGGATAAGCCACTGAGGGAAGGGCACGCGCTCCCCAGGCTGCAGCTGAAAGCAGAGCCTCCCTCCCTGTGCTTGGGTCATTTTTCAGTCTTCTAATCACGGCAGCACTCCCGTTTTTAATGTCCTATTTGGATCTGTTTTCCCAAAACCATGTGCGCATTCCTGGATGTTGACACAAAGTAGAATGCAGTTTCTGGTGGCTGATGTGGAGTCCTGCCTCTAGGACGGTATGAGGACAGGAAGAAAGGCCAGGGGTAGGGGCATCATGGCACAAACTAGATTTAGCTTTTTGCCACTTTGCTAATGCCAAAAACTTCAAAAGCAACTGCCTGTTAGCTTCAAAACCTCGACAACAATTCTTTTGAAATGTTATTTAAAAATCAAGCTACATGTTCATTATGCAAGTGTTTATGCTTGATTTTCAACTGGTTTGAAGTCCTTATAAAAGAAGTCATTTACAAGTTCTGGTTTTAGTCCACAAAAATAGTGCATTTCTGAGTTACCCACAGAAGTCCCCTGCCACACATAGTTTCCCCCATATCTGTCCCTCACTTGCTATAATCAGGCTCTCTGGGGACTTACAGGGCACAGCGGCTGTACAATAACTTGAGTATGACCTAATAGACACATAAAGAGCTAGGCAGGTGTGTCAACTAGCAAACACTGGGGACAAACTACAAGAAAAATCAGTAACTTTCCTCCTGCTTCAATAAGTGTGAGTGTCCTAGAAGTGGCCTTCAGATCAGGACAGGCCTGGTAATGCAACTGGCTTTGGGCTCCTCTGTGCCAAAAGCCACCAAAGGGTCCTCTATGTCTAGGAGTGTGGCAGCAGATACCACAGGCAAAAGTTGTGCTGGAGGCTACGAATGAGAAAGCGGCAGCCCCATCCAGCCTGAAGGCAGTTTGTGTTTGGCTCCTTTCACAAATACATATGGGTTTGTTGCTGTTATTGCTTTTTAATTTTAGAAAGCGTGAACAGGGAAGGGGGCAAAGGGAGAGGGAAAATTTTAAGCAGGCTCCATACAGTGCGGAGCCTGACATGGGGCTCAATCCCATGACTCTGGGATCATAACCTGGGCCGAAATCAAGAGTTGGATTCTTGTTTTTTTAGGTTTGAATTTTAAATTAGAAGAGTTCACGTAAGGGCACCTGGGTGGCTCAGTCCATCAAGCGTCTGGTCTGACTCTTGGTCTCAGCTCAGGTCATGATGTCATGATTTGTGAGATCGAGCCCTGCATCAACTCTGCACTGTCATACAGAGCTTACTTGGGATTCTCTCTTTCTGCCCCACCCCCACCCCCCGCTCATTCTCTCTCAAAGTAAACTTGGAAAAAAAAAAAAAGAGAGAGAGAACAGTTTACATAAAACAGCTGGATTTCTGGCTTCTCTTGGGGAAAAAATTTTTTTTCAGAAAATTTGGCAAAACTGAGCCTGGATCCCACATGGTAAAATGGGCTTTGGGTGAACAGTGGCTCCCTGCTGCCCATCCAGTCTGCCCTCCTCAGTTTCCTATTGTTCCCAAAACTCAAGGCTGGTGCCACCCACCATCCACTGTTTTCTTCATAATGGAAGGAAGAACAACATGAAACAGGTCTTAAACCTGTGAGTTTATCACAAATGCAAAAGCAAAGATGTGCTGAAGGCCTCTATGATTAAATAAAAATGGAAGAGAGAATATTTCTTTTGAAGATAATTTTCAAGTACTCACAAAATCATTTTATTATAGCACTCCCCAAATTCCTTTATTTTTAATAGAGATCAGTTTGGTGAAGAAATCTCTCAGCCAAAAATGACCTTGATTACTGGAAGTTCTAGGTATTTAACAGAGATTACCTGATACAATCAGTTTTGGGAAAAAGAGGCAAAGTGACTTAACAATGATTTGAGAATTATTGCTGGAGGTATGACCTCATAATAACAAGGGTTAGGTAGTTACCAAAAAGCTTTAAAGAAAGGGCTGCTTTAAAAAGCAATTCAGTAAGTGATTACACTGTGATCACGTAAGGCTCATGGCTTCAGATAAATTTTCTAAAGTCACACTACATGATTCAAAGTTCGGGATCATCAACATTTTTGGGGAATGTACATTTAAAAAAACTAGTGTATAATGCAAAAACAAAGCGATGATGAAAACGGTCAGAGACCTAACATTTTTTTTTTTTTTAATGTTTTATTTATTTCTAGGAGAGAGAGAGAGAGAGACAGCGTGAGCAGGGGAGGGTCAGAGAGAGAGGGAGTCACAGACTGAAACAGGCTCCAGGCTCTGAGCTGGCAGTCAGCACAGAGCCCGACGCGGGGCCCGAACCCACGAACCGCGAGATCATGACCTAAGCGAAAGTCGGACGCTTAACCGACTAAGCCACCCAGGCGCCCCAGAGACCTAACATTTTTATTAAGAAAAATAATAAACTTGTTTCAGAAAATGTGAAAATGAAAAAGGACAGGATTTTCCAAGTAAACATATTTTGTAAAATTCTAAATATGTACCCAATCAAAATAGTAACTAATTATAGGTCCACTATTCGATCTTTATTCTCTAAAGCTTTCATATCTAATTGGCCCCAAAATGTCTTTGAGGACCTTTTCATCAGTGCCATCCTACTTTCCAGGACTTAGAACATTCTTGAGTTAATAAACAAACAAAACAGATCAGTGTCAGGAGGCCAGAGTGGCGCTGCCTGTCTCTTCCCACTCTTACTTGCATTTAAGCCTGTGACCCTTAGACACCCAGTTTCACCCCGTCAGAAACTCTCCTACTCACCTTCTCTCATCTTTTGGTCTAATTCATCCAGTGTCGGCTCGATCAACTCCCAACCATCTGGGGGAGCTTTCCGGCTTCTTTTGACTTTAGGCATGTTTCCCACAAGATAATTTGCAAAGATCTAGGGGGGAAAATTAAACGGAGTGGTTTCTGAACCTGAGATCCCCAAAGGCCTTCACTAGCCACCATTTTGGTGTACGTTCACTTCCGTTTCCTCATCTCCACAACACTGATAACATAATCTACCTATAGAGCCATTGTGAAGATTTAGTTGTAGTTATATGCACATGCCTACATTAAATGTGTTTAATAGACTTTTTGCTGTTATCATTAACATCACCTATGAGCCTGGCCCTGTATTGGATACTGGAAACATAGAACAAATAGTAAGACACAATTTCTGTCACTGAGAAGGTGACATTCTAGCAAGGAGATGGAAAGTGAGAAGACAATTACAACATGTTGTGGGAAGAATTATGGTGGGGAGAGAGGAGAGAATAAGCGTTTAAAAAGGAAAAAAGATGGTGTAAAGCCAAAGTACCTCAGGGTTTGCTTCCCAAGAGTGTAACAGAAAGATCTCTGGTGTCTTCAGTTATAAACTTAGGTTCTTGTCCAGCTCTACCAATTCTGTGACTTTGGGGGAAGACACATTCCCTTTCTGGTCTTCAGTCTTATCTGTAAAATGAGGGCACTGAATTAGCTTGATTGCCAAAGAAATTTTTTTGTTTTGTTTTTAAAGAGAGAGAGCACACAAGCAGGGCAGAGAGGGAGAAAGAGAGAATCTTAAACAGGCTCCATGCTCAGTATGGAGCCCAGCACAGGCTCCATCCTCTGACCCTGGGATCATGACCTGAGCCATACACTCAACTAGCTGAGCCATCCAGGCACCCCCAAAGAGTCTTTAAAGCCCAATAAAGTATTACATAAAGGCAAGTTATATAAAGCCCATACAACTGGCCAGTCCACATCTAAATAATGGCATTTTTCAAACGACACAGCATTTCTAGGTGGCAAAGAGAATTTAGGTTAATTACTTCCTACTGTGAAGCACAGCAGACTCCTGTCCCAGAAACTCAATCAGTCCGTGTCTTCTGTGGGGTGCCTGAGTGTTTACAATGTTCACCCCCCCATCCCCAGCCTCCTTTCCTTAATTCTCCACAACAACCTTACAGATGAGAAATGAATCTTCTATAGGTCAGAGTCACGCAACTGAAAACTGGCAGAGTATGATTCTGATGGGGGGGGGGGCGCTCCTGATTCCCAAACCAGTGATCTTTGCACGTCTCTCCCCTGCTCTGAAGCTAGAGATGGTCAGAGTCCAGACCCTGCCAGAGCGCGCACCGGCTAGGGGAACAAAGACACAGGACACCAATTTGCTATGACCCAGGGAAATTCGAGAGCCCTGGCCTATCTGGAGGTCAGAACAACCCAAGGTAGATAACAGGTAGAAGGCAACGGGATCAAGGGGTGTCGGGCGGTATAAGAGGTGGTAGCACTCGGAAAAAGGGAGTGGAAAGGCATTCGGAGCTAGGGTGGGAAAACATTACAGTCGGGACTGTAGGAAAGGCTCATAGAGAGGACCGGGCTTACAAGAACAAACATCATTTAGACAGAAAACGTTTTCGGGAGAGGAAACAGTGGGAGGAGGGGGAGCCTAGAAATAAGAGAACCCCCAAATCTCCCATTCCCTGGGCAGAACGAACCAGGCGCCGCCTCTTCTCAGGAACCCACTCTGACCTCCCGCTCCAGAGGCCCGCACCCGTCCCAGACCAGCCGCTCACACCGCCTCTGGGGCAGTGCAGACCTCCGATTCCTGGCCCTAACCGTTACCAAGGTACTAGTGAACACAGGAGAAGCGCTCACCTAAATCACCGTCGCCGTCACCCGCCACTTTACCTACAGCTTCCGCTTCCCAGGCAATCTCTCCAGGACGAGGTCCTCGCGGAGCCCCTCCCCAGCTTGCTCAGAGATTGCGTCATTTTAGGTGTCTGCAACTCTGCCTGTATAAATTCCAGCCCACTGTTGCCTTTTGCCCTCACTTCCCAGGGAAAGACCGGCAGGCTCAAACGTCTCCCCGGGGGCGGAGGGACTGGGGGCGCTTGCCTGGGCAGCGCGCTGGCGAGCCTGGACTCAGGCGGCGCGCGGGACAGTCTTCGTGCGCCGGCCTCCTTGAGGTCCCCGGTCCTCGAGGCGGCGGTGGCGGCGGCGGCGCGCTGAGGAAGACTGGGCCGGGCGGAAGAAGTCGAGCCCGAGGTATTTCCGTTTCCGGTGTCAGTTCGAGGCGCCGCCGCCGCTGCGCTAGCCACCGGATCCGCGATGCCTAAAGGAGGTGAGGGGCTAGCGCGCGTGGCCCGCGGGCCTCGAGGGGCTGCCTAAGTCTGGCTCCCGCTGTTCATTCAGCCCGCGGGCGTTTCGGAGAGCGGCGCAGAGGGAGGACGTCCGCGCCGGCTGAGGGCCTGGCCTGGGCCTCGGCGCCCAATTGTCCCGATGGAGAAAGTGAGGACCGGAGTGGCTACGAGCCACTCCTTCTGGGGGTCTGAGGAGATCCAGAGGGTCCGGCTCGGCGCCGACGCCGAAGGCCTGATCTAGTGCGCGCTTCTCTTGGCTTGGGAGACCTGGAGTTTACTCCCTCTTCCAGGCTTGCCGGGGACTGAGTCACCGCGTCCCGCCTGTGTCTGTGCCGGGCCCGTCTGCCTTGCGCGTAAAGCGTGGGGCCTCTCGAGCTCTGGGCGAGCTAGGCCTGCCTAATGAGACCTAACTTGATGCTCTCCAGTCCGGCCGACCTGGCTTTGAATGTCCCTATTCGGCAGCGGCTCCATGTGTGCCTTTGAACCAGTGGCATTTCCCTGTGTCTCCGTTTTCTCGTTTGCAAACGGGGCTTATGATTGTACCTACCTCATAGTAGTAATGTGAGGCATTACTACTTGGTGATCCACGTGGCGTGCGCAGCACAGCTCCAGGCAGCCAAACGCCCGCTAAGCATTGTTACACGGTTTCGTCAATTTCTTGGCCCAAGAGGATAGAGGATCCATGACTTCCCATTGCATCGTAGACAGTCCTTCATTCTCTTTCCCCTAAAAGTCATTAGTTCTTGATTTCAAGTCTAGCTGTGTCATTGTCTAGCCCTGTGGCCTGAAACAAATTATTTAATTCCAGCCCGTTTTTTGTCATGTAGAACACCTGGTTAATAACCCTTAGCTTGGAGAGCTGGAGATAGAGGCTATAAAATAATAGAGCACTCAAAGTGCCTGGCTTTTTTCTGGCACAGAACAGATGTTCGGTTAATAGTGGTAGCTCATCTGCCATGTTGGTTAAGATGCTTTAGCCCACAGGAAATCTACTTGGAGCTTTTTCAAACCTAAATGACTTCCTGACTCTACTTGGAGAGATACTGGGGTTTACAGAGTTGAATCCATTTAAACCTACCTCTCTGTTGATTTATCCTGTGGTAGGAAGAGCCAGGTCTCTTCCATTTTCCACAGCTGTCTGTTCTGCAAACTGAGGGTGCCAGCTGAGCCCTTCCAGTTTCAGAATTCTGGTTCTAAGGGTCCTACTTCATAGATACTTTGAGCCAAGGTTGGAAGTTACAAAATCCTAAATATGAATTCTTGATTAAGTGACTTGGCCTTTGGCTTGTGAAAAGTTCTATGAGCAGGTAAGATTGACCTATTTTGCTTGTGTTGATTTGCTTGAAAAGAAAAAGAAACGATTTTTTTTTTTAAAGTATAAAATTACCTAAGAGAAAAGGATGAACTCTTGTTTCCAGTAGTAACTGTAAAGCATTTTCAAAGGTATGCTGGTAAAAGTTATTGTAGACTAAACTCAGCTCCATATTATCCTAGCCCAGTGTGCAGGATGAGAGCCTGTAGTGGCCAGTTTTGAAGTGTTATTACTACCTGGAATATTGAGAGGGAAGGAATGGGTGTTGGGTTTTTTTTTTTTAACGACAAGCTTGATCTCTCACAATAGGACTTTCATGAGTGTAGACCGAGACACCCCCTGGGAACCCAGGTAGTCATTAAAAATGGGTGGTGTGATCTGTAGCAGCCCAATTATGGCTTTGCAGCTGCTGTCTAGGAAATAAGAGGAGGTTGGTATCTTTGCTACTGTCTCTCGAGTCCAGAGAAGCTCTGGCTGTTTAATTACAGATTCTCTGCATGCAGTGAGACTCACTAGAAATCAGCTGGGCTGAAGCTTCCGGAAGAGGTGGGGATGGATTGAGGCCACAACCGCCCCAGCATCCTCCAGGACCAGCAGAGCAGGAGTCAGTCTATTGTCCTGCCTCAAGACAGTCAGACTGATACTCTTAGATGCATTTTAATTGCTAATTGCATTTTTAACTGCTAGAAGGGAGTCAGCTTTATCTTTAACTTTGCCAGCTACGTTTCTTACTCCACACACAAGAAAGTTTCCAGTAGGTTCTAGACTTTTTTCTTTTTACTGTACCACTTAGGTGAACATGAAGTGTTTCATTACATTCCCTGACTTTTTTTTTAATGTTTATATATTTATTTTGAAATAGCACAATCAGGGGAGGGGCAAAGAGAGAGGGAGAGAGAATCCCAGACAGGCTCCACCATGTCATCGCAGAGTCCAATGTGGGGCTCGAAGTCACAAACCATGAGACCATGAACTGAGCCGAAACCAAGAGTCGGACACTTAACTGACTGAGCCATCCAGGTGCCCCACATTCCCTGACTTTTATAGGAAATCACTAATGTGGTCAGTGGCTTTGTTTTTTATCTCTTGCCAAAATACTTTATTAGAAAAGTTACAAATGCAGTATGTTTTTGTAGTGCTTAATCCGATGCCAGGCATTGTTCCAAGTTTTACATGTGTTAACAAATTCCTTCCTGTGACAACTCCAGGAGGTAGGGACACAAATGAAGACACTGAGACTGAGAGGTCAAGTACCCGCCCAAAGTCATAAGTGGTAGAGCTGAGATTTGAGCCCAAGGGTCAGACTCCAGTGTTTGTGCTCTTCACCATGTTTAGTGACTTGTCTTTAAAATGGGATCAGCCGTGATTTTCCGTACATGGGTTTATTCTGAGGCTCAAACGAGTCCATGGCTGTGCCAGAGCTTTTGCAAGTAAAAAGCACTGTAGCGTTAAATGTTCTTACTGCATTTTGGTTTGCTTTGTTTGGATTCTAAGGCACCATGGGATTCAGCCAGTTATTATATGCAGTGTGCCCTCAGCCACATCCTCCTCTTCGTCTCATCTTAGGAACCTGCATACAGCACGCTGTTTGGTGCTGTAGCAGTTGGTCTGCATTTTGCCTTTTTTGTCCCTTTAAACATCTGAAGGTAGGAGAATAGGTTTGTGTGGTGCTTAGTGAGAAGAGGAGGTCTCTGCAGCCTCTGATGAGAGCATCTCAAGCAGGATGCAGCCCTCTGGGGCTCAGGGCAATCAGGGAAGCTGATTCCCTCCTACCTTCCTAAACTGCTGATCTTCGTGCAGGGAGAAAGGGAGGCCACAAAGGCCGGGCACGGCAGTACACAAGCCCTGAGGAGATCGATGCCCAGCTCCAGGCTGAGAAGCAGAAGGCCAGGGTGAGTACATGGCTGTGCGGGCCACTCCAGTGGCCCAGGGCGGTGCCCCGCCTCTTTGGCATCCAGAGAGCCAGGCAGGGACCACCAATTCTTAGGCAGAAGCCAGCACCTGAGGTTTGGGGGGGGATGGGCAGCAGGCGGGTATCCCAGAACAACCAGTGACAGTGATGAGAAGAGCTATCTTTTGATTGAGTTAATCAATTACAACTTTGTCCTTTTAGCAATGGTTGCCTTAGTGGGTGTCTGTTCTTGATCCTGTGTCCTGCTGTCTGGGATTTGTCCTTCTGTCAGGCCCCGCCCATCTCCATTCATAGCTCAAGCTCCCTGCAGTCCCCATCTGTTTGTTGTAGCCATGTCACACCCAGCATAACACAGTGCCCTGCCTCCCCTTACCCTCAACAGGCAAGAGTGCCCTTCGTTCCTCCTGACCCTGTTCACCGTCACCTTCTCTGTGATTCTCACTGATGCTCTTCACCCTGCTCCCTCTAGTCCAGGCTTAGTAGTTCCTCCACTGTTCCTGCAGTACTTTTTCCAGCCTACTGTGAGGAAATGGAATATTTCCATCATTGTCGATGTCCACATCCCTGACCACATCATTAGATCCTCACCTGGATAAGGGCCAAAAAGAGCACAGTCAGGCTGGATGGGTGACAGGGGTGACAGAAGGAGCCCCTAGAAGGGAGAAACCACATATGAGTGAGGAAGGGGGAGGAGGGCTGGATGGAGCAGCTGCCAGCTAAGCAGGACCTTGGAGAGTATGTGGGCAAGTGCTAGTACGAAGGAAGTACTGGTTTCGTTAGGAATGTTTTTGGTGGGGAAGCAAGAAAGATGAAGGGGGGTAGCATGTTGAGCGTTGTCCCGGGAAGCAGCGCAGCAGGGCATCTGCAGGGGCAGGCTCGAGTGGCCGACCCTCCATTTCCACTGTGGGAATGGAATGCAGCGGAGGATTTGCCCAGGAAAGTGGTATCATTTGGCAGCTGTGTGTAGCAACTGGGGAAGCAGGAGTGGGGCTGAGCAGGACTACGGTTCCCAGCCCTACAGCCGAGTCCTTCTGACCCTGGGTGATGAACTTCTCACCCAGGTTGGAGTGTGGGAATGACTTCCAGGCTGTGGAGCCGAGTATATAGGCTGCCTCTGACCCCGGTCCCCTACTAGGGGCCAGGGTTACAGAGTAGGACCCTTGTCATACTTGGTCCCAGCCTTATGGGGGCTTAATTCTTCTGGGTCCACAGTCTGGAGGTGGTGGGAGCAGGGGTCACAGTCTAGGGGGTTTGTGCATTTTTGATTTTGCAGGTTGTCCATTTCTGAAACAGGAAGAAGAGGAACAAGGAGAAGATGGTGGAGATGGGGCTGCGGGGGACCCCAAAAAGGAGAAAAAATCCCTAGACTCAGATGAGAGTGAAGATGAAGAAGATGATTACCAGGTGCTGAGTTTGGTGGAGGCCTAGGACTTGGACTCATTCATTTAACAAACATCTATCAAGTGCCTCTTGGTCACCATTTCTAATGTTGGATGTGGACAGAGTCTTCACTCTTAAGGGGTTATGTTTTAATAGTGAGTTATAGACAATGAGGAAGTAAATGGTATAATTTCAAGTAGTGGCAAGTATTAGGAGTGAGGGGGACTAATCATGGGTACTTGAAGTAGTGTGTGGTTAGGTGGGTGACTTTTAAACTGAGATCTGAAAAACAGGCTGGAGCCTGGTGTGTGGAAAAGCCATCATGAAGAGCCATCAAGGTGGGCAGATTAGCAAGTGGAGGGGCTCTGGGGTGGGAGGAGTCTGGTGGGGATGTGCCTGGGTGGGTAATGGGTAGAGTGGCTAGGGATGCGAGAGGAGAGGTTGGCCAGGGCAGCTCCTGAGTGGCAGTTGAGGGGTTTGGGTTTCATTGTTGTGGGTAGTGGGCAGCTGGTGGAGGCCTTGAAGTGGGAGAGAGAGATCACCAGATTTGCTTTTAAAAGGTGGTTGCATAGCACTTTCACAGGTCCTCCCCTAGGCAGTGGGGCCAGGATTTGGTAGCTGGTGCTGAAAGAAAACCCTTGATTGCATCCTTGCCCTGAGACTGTGCCAGTGGCAGCTGTCACTCAGTGGCACAGAAAAAGAAGAAAAAATAAAAGAAAAGGTGGTTGTGGCTTCTCTGCGAAGACTTAATTATAAGTTGTTGAGGATATAAGCAGGGAAATGGCAGCAGGTCACCAGATAAGAAATTGTGGCTGGTGTTGGGGTGGTGGCTGGGCCAGTGGGAGAGGAGGGGGTAGGTTCATGCTGTGGTTTTGGGTTTGCTGAAGGGTGGGTTCAGGGGCTAAGAGAAGGAGGCATGAGGCTATGGCATGAGTATGGTCAGAAGAAGCAGGGTAGGCGAGGGGTGAGTCCTGAGTTCTCTTTAGGCACATTTACTTGTGAACTTGTAAGTGGATGTGTTCATGGGTAGCTTGAATGGATGTTGCTCTCTGGAGCTCTGGGTCAGATTGGCTGGTATATGGAACCTGTTTCTCTGGTCACTTAAAGAGAAAAGCTGGGGTCGACAGCACCTGAGACTTGGGCCCAGCCTGCTCCACTGGGGATTTGCGCTCTTGTTAAATATCCCCCAGGGGAAGTGGGAGGTGCAGGTTCCTCACGCCCGTAGACTGTGATTCCGTGGCTCCTTCTCAAGTCACATTTCCCTCCTATCAGCTGAGATGGCTAGGAATTGGAATTGGTCCTCAGAACATCCTTAGCATGGCCTGCCCTGAGGACCCAGTGGTGGTTGTTGCAATCAGCCATGAGCTTCCATGGAAAACTGCTTTCAGAAGTGGGGGTGTAGTGCTCTGTGTTGAGAGCTTGTGAGTTGGGCTTGGGTTCTCAGCTCATCGGTGTGCTTCCTGGTTGGCCTTAGGCAAATTATTTAGTCCCGTGCCTCTGTTTGTCACCTGTGAATCTGAGAAAATAACCCGCGCTTGCTGGGACTTGGCATAGGTTGGGCTCTAGTCATGTGTACTCCCTGTCCTTGTACCTCCTGGGCTGGTGAGGACGGCCCTAGGTGCTATTCCCATTGTGAGGCTCAGGCCCAGCATCATGTTGGCTGGGAGTGAAGCAGAAATTTGTCCCCGGCCATGTGGGTTGTTGGGAGATGGTGGGCATGGCCCTCAGGGGCTCTGTGGATGGACTCAACAGCCAACTTCTTGTCTTACCTTAGCAAAAGCGCAAAGGCGTGGAAGGGCTCATTGACATTGAGAACCCTAACCGGGTGGCACAGACAACCAAAAAGGTCACACAACTGGACCTGGATGGGCCCAAGGAGCTTTCAAGGAGAGAACGGTAACCTCTGCTACTGGGCCTTGTGACCTGGGCACGTGGGTGGGGGGCTGACCTATGTGGCAGGGTGGGGAGAGTGGCTGAGGTATCCATTTCCCCTACTCTTGCCTCCTGGGCTCTGAGGTTCCCAGGGACTGGGTGGGGGCTCCAGCTACAGTATCTTTGTGTGTGTGTGTGTGTGTGTGTGTGTGTGTGTGTGTGTATCTCATTCCCCAAAAGCTCTATAGAAACTTCTCCAAAAACATCAAACAGAAATAATTGTTTTTTCACCAGTAGGAACACAGCAGGGAAAATAGAACAGCAGTTTCAGACCTAAACGTTGCCCTTGAAGTAATGCCCATGGATACGGAAGGTTATGATACAGTCCCTTCCTCCAGAGCACCCCACTGTAGGGACACTTTCCTTATCCAGCCAGGTCTGACCATTCTTGGCCTGCATTCTTTGATGTCATTGCCATGGGGTTGGGAGAACCCAGAGAGGTTCACAGTGCAGAGAGCACAGTGCAGAGAGATCTACTGGCTGCCCCAGTGCTCCCGAAGTCCCAGGTGGAGACGGAGCTGCAGACAGCTTTTTCTTTGTGATTGTGTGAAGGTCTCAATTGAGTGCAGTGCCCTGCACGTGGCCATTCCTTGACAAGTAGTACCTGGACTTTTGATGGCCATCAGCTGACATCAGGGCCTGGCCATTCCTTGACAAGTAGTACCTGGACTTTTGATGGCCATCAGCTGACATCAGGGCCCTTACAAGAAGTTGGAGGCCACTAGGGAAAGCTGCCCTTTTTGTTTGTTTGTTTGTTTGTTCCTTTCTGGGCTGCTAAGATTTAAATCCACCTTCCTGGGCTAACCTCATGATGGCTGAGGGGTCTATGAAAACACCACAGGAAAAGCTCAGGAGCTCAGGGTGTAATTAAAGGATTAAAGTAGAATCCTGGGCTGCTAAGGATTCTACTCCTCCAGTAGCTTTCTTCTTACCAGTAAGAAGAGTTGTTACTCTGCCCTTTGAGGTTGCAGAGTGAAAGCATCCTTCCTGGCACTGAGCCTTCACTGAGAGGGCCTTGCAAAGCTTCTGGTAGCCTTACTCATCATCCAGATGCCTCCAGGGAAATCCCCTTCCCCCCTAGTTTGAATCTCTGCTGCTAGCTCAGAGGCTCCTGACTCTGTACTGCCTCCCAAGGTAGGATCTGCTGGGTTGACAGGTGTCCAGTCTCATCTGTATAGCACGTGTCTTGTTGAGAGTCTCCTGGGCAAAACATCTGCTCATCTGACTTTCGGTGGCTGGCTCTCCTCCCATCTGGGCAGGCCCCATGCCTTGTTTCTTATCACCCAGCGCCTTGTGCTGTGAGGGCCTCTGGGAGGCCACATACCTTTCCTAGGCTCCTGTTAGGCAGGGCCTCCCTGTCCCCTCCTCCAATATTTGGCTCTTCCAGGAGCCTGGTATAAGTGGGATGATAACAATATCAGTGAAGAGTGTGCACACACCACTTTAGAATCTCAGGCCTGGGAGGAAGATCTCAGAGGGAAGACTTAATGAGAGGGAGAAGTTAGTGACCATCACCTCTCTCTCTACCTAGTGGGTTGGTGACTGACACCTTTTTCCTGTGGGAGTAGAGCTCTTATGCCCACACCCTCCTCAGTGGGGGCTCACTGCCTTGGAGGCAGCCTCTTAAACACATCTGAGCTGCTCTAATTGAGAATGTGCCTTGTCCTGTGGACCTGAGATTGGGTGGGTGTGGTTCCCATCTGTGGCCACTTGGTACACTCCCTTCTCTACCCCTCATAGAATGGTTCCCAGTGCCTTCCTCTTCCTGCTCATGTCTGGATACACAGTCCACTGGATTTGGTCCTCCTTTATTACTGTGGACACCAGACCACCAGACCCTAGCCAGCAACACCACCCCACTCCCCTCCCCAGCCAATGCAGACATTGTTCACTGTGTGCTGAGTTCACCCTCATCCTATGTTATGTGTCTGGGGAAGCTGGTACATTGCTTGAACTTCCTACAGCCCCCTGAGAGGTCCAGTCCTGTCCCTTTGCTTGTTTGGTGAGTGTCCATCAGCGAGGGGGCACACAGAGCCAGGGCACCCTCCTCCACTTGGGTTCCAGGCCTGAGTACTTGGCTTTTACTTTGGCTCTCATATCCAGCTTGGCTGATAATGGTGGGAAGATAACCCTTATGACACCATTTTATCCAAACAGAGAAGAAATTGAGAAGCAGAAAGCAAAAGAGCGTTACATGAAAATGCATTTAGCTGGGAAGACAGAACAAGCCAAAGCTGACCTTGCCCGGCTGGCAATCATCCGGAAACAGCGGGAAGAGGCCGCCAGGAAGAAAGAAGAAGAGAGGAAAGGTAAGTCCTGAGCCGCTGGTGTGGCCGCCTGACAGTTTCTGGATGAGCCACTAAACCCTGTGCTTCAGTGTCCTTGTTGTAAAATGGGATGGGGTTGGGTTGTTGGGTGGAGGGCCAGCCTGTGTGTCAGTGCACTTACCTTTCTCGTTGCCAGTGGAGGTGGGCGTTTCTGCCTCAACCTCCTGGGGTGGTGGGAGGGCTCAGCAGCAGCTGGGAGTCAGATGAGGGTTTGGATCTAAACAGCACTGTCCTCAGTATCGGACAGAAACCACAGGGATGCACCCAGGGCAGACCTTCAAGGCTGGAAGGTCCCACTGAGGTGTCCGGTGCCTTGTGTGGCTGAGAGAGCTACTTCGGGGAATCACTGTCTTATCTGAGGGGCTTGAGAGGGTGCAGCAGGGCAGACCTCACGATCCAGACCCAAGTGACATCTGACCCGGCTGTCCCGTTTCTCTCATGCCTTCCCTACAGTGGGATCAGAGGTGGGGCCTACCTCTCAGCCAGGATGGCTGTGGGGAGTTGGTCTGGTTTATAGGAGCATTTGACTCATGGCCTGTGTCCTGGTCTCATGTGGGGCCACAAGAGCCCTTCGGGACCTGCTGTCCTGCCTCCTCACCAGATCATGGGGAAACTGAGGCCTAGGCCGGGAAATGAGTTGCCCCAGGGCTGTCACCACACCGGAGGTAGCCCACTGTCCCACCTCTCTGCTCTTGCTTTGCAAAGCCCAGGCAAGGGAGGACTTCATGTATTGTTGCTGATTAGAGGTTTCGGCCTCCACAACAGAGGCTGTAATTATGAGGTTCTGCCTCTGGGTGGGGTAAGAAGTTTCTCTTTGCCAGTAGCTTGTATGTTGGGGGTACTGTGTGGGAGGCAGCCACCCAAACTTGGCAAGAACGTTTGTGGATAGTGCCTCTGCGGGAATCCTTCTGGGTCTTTTCCCCCTCTGCCAGCTGAGCCCATTGCCCAGAGTGTGTTCTGAGGTTCCTCGGCCTTCTGGGGTGTGTGGGGGTGTGTGCAGTGGCAAGGGTCTTGTATTAACACTAACCCTTCCCTTACCACCCTCAGCAAAAGACGACGCGACCTTGTCGGGAAAGCGAGTGCAGTCGCTGTCCCTGAATAAGTAGCACGGCCTGTGGGAAGAGGCACTGGGGACCTGGGCCGCTCTGCCAGGACCTCTACCACGTCTCGCCCACCCTGCCCTGGCGCCGCTGCTGCAGCCCCTCACGGCAAGGAGCCCCCACCCTGGCCTGGGGCCTCCTTTTCATCTTGGCACAGAAATCGTTTTGGGGGGGATGGTGGGGGGGTGCTGGGGGAAGGGGCAGCTGCCATCTTCGAGACAGAAAGATGCGGGACAGCATTTCGTATGTAACCACTCGAATGTTTTTGCTGTTTTTAGAATTCAGAACTCTTGTTGGGGGAGTCTGGGAGGTAGGGTAAGAAGAGCTTCCGTTTGTCCCATAGATTGCACGGTAGGGGCTGGTTGTACAGAGGGGCGGCTGCTGAAGTGTTTGCAACAGCCAGCTCCAGTCTGTGTTGCCTGGGTGCTCACTCAGAGGGACTGTCGTCCAGGATCCTGTGTCCCTGGGTCCCTGAGGGTCATGGCTCGTCCCCAGCCAGGCCCTTCTGCCCTTCCCTGCCCCATTCCTGACCCTGGCCAGAGCCAGGACCCATTCTTAACCTTGCCCATTGATCATTTCAAGAAACCTCTGTTTACTGTGTAGCACCCAGGCAGAACATGCTCCATGAGTCCAACTTGTATATTTGGCAGATTAAACTTGACATTATCGTAACCCTTGTTCTGTGATCCATTTTTGGGCCCCTGTGCTTGGACCATTTTCACCCAACAGGTCATGGTGTTGCTGTCAGCCTGGTCTGCCCTGCAAGGTTCAGGTGGCAACCAGCAGGGTGTGGGGACTGGTCCCTGGGCCTCTGAGCTAGGAGAGACCTCAGGACAGAGCCAGCTTCTCCCTTCCCTTAACTCAACTGTGGCGGACCTCAAGCTGGAGTGGCCAGGATGCCGTCCACGGTCCTCAGCAAGCCGACAGCAGCACTGCACCTCTCCGCCCTGCCCTCCAGGTGCCCCTGCTCTGGCGACAGTCTCAGGATCTCAGTGCTGGAAGGAAGCGTCCCAGCACCCGCGTGACTGCCAGGCATTGCCTCATCCCATCGTTAACCACCCCGGGTGGTGGAGGTGGCGGCAGGGAAATAGGCTTAGCAGTCATGTGAGCTGCCTGCAGAATTGGCCGCTGTGCCTGTCCCTTCTCCCGCACCCCTTCGTGAGGGGCGCTCCACCTTGTGAACAGCATCCTTTGCGTATGATCCTGAGAGGTCAATAACTTGTGCCAAGCAGGGGTTTGGCTTGAGGTCAGAAAGAGGGATTTAGCGGGAGAGATGGAATTGGGCCCCTGACTTCCAGGGACTCCTACCACGCCCCCTGGGCTCAACCATACTAGAGGTCAACAGCCCCAGGAGCCCTAGCAGGGACACCACAGCCACCAGCATCTGCAGCTCACCCTGGCCTGCAGAGATCCCTCTGCCCTTGGACCTGAGGAGCGAGAATTACCTCAGGTTTGCCAGAGCACCTCCCCCTCCCCTGGAGGTCCTGCCTTCACTCAGGTTCAGGTCTGTACCTTGCAAATTAGGTTTTTGGATAAGATGGAGGAAGGTGCAAGGTGCACAGACAGTGCTCTGTCGTTGGCTTCAGGGGGCACCAGCCAGCAGGACTAGAGCCACACAGGGTGGTAGGAGGTAACTTCTAACGTGCTGGAAGCTGGAGATTTGCAGGAGTGGTCGGCATGAAGAGGCTGAGTTTGGCCAGCAAGGCTCCCTGTGTGCCTAGGACTGTTCCTGTAGGACCTGGTGTGAGGCTGGAGGCAGGGACTTCCTGGTGGCTGCAGGCCCACAAGAGGTTGTACAGATCTCACCTGCGTGCCTCGGTGACGTGCTGCCAAGAGTTCTGGCTTGAAGCATTTCCTTCCTGGCTCAGCTAGAGACCTGACCACATCGAGTACATTTCAGCAGATGCCCCTCAGGGCTTGGAAGTCCGACCTGAGCTTGGATCCTGGCTCTGCTGCCTCCTGCCTGTGAGACCTTGAAGAGGTAACTTTTTCTCTGGCATTCAGTTTTCTCTTAAAAGGGATAACAAAGCCTTCCTCCCAAGGTGAGACACAGACTCTTGTGTGTTAGGATTCTCCCAGTTGTGTCCTCTACTACTCACCCAGGTCACCCCAGGTCACCTCACCTCCTCCCTGTCCCTCCTCCCTTGCATTCTTTTGGTCCTCAGGGCCAGTTTTGTTCCCACATCATCGCACACCCACATAACTGCAGCAGCAACCTCAGGTCTCTGCCCAGTTCTAGGCGCCTCGTTCCCCAGGATGCCAAGGGCCTCCAGAAGCTGATCTTTGGGGACCTTCTCAGCCTTACCCACCCACCTCATCCCTGTCCTGAACCCCATCAGTCCTCTGACTCTAAAAGGACTCTAGTTTGACCCTAGAAGGGTCAAACCCTTGCCCACAACACTTCTTGTATGTTATTACTTGCCTGGAACCTTCCTTCAGCCCCAACCCCTTTTCTTTCTCTGCCACCTTCTCTCCCCACCCCCCAACACTGGGTTGTCATCATCTGCCTCCCCCACCAGACTATGAGCTTGTCCCCTCCACTGTCCTCAGCAAGCCTGGCCAGTGGTCCTGCTATCCACTGGTGATGCGCACATCACAGAACAGGGGCCAGATCCCCTCCTTCCCTGATGGGACTGCCCACTTGCCACAAGTGCTTTGGCCACCCTTTGAGGAGCCAATCCTAATTCTAACTGGCAGTGTCATACAATGCCTTTTCCTTTTTGTTAGAAGCAAATTACTGACCCTATCAGTTTTTGGTGGTTTTTTTTTTTTTTTTAGTGTTTATTTTGTGAGAAAGAGAGCATGTGAGCAAGGGTGGGGCAGAAAGGGAGAGAAAGAATCGCTAGTGGGCCCTGCACTGTCAGAAGTCGAGTCCAATACTTAACTGAGTCACCCAGGCACCCTGAGCCTGTCAGCTTTAAGCCAAGACCTGTGTCTGTAATGAGAGCAGACAGTTGACATCTGCAAAGCCTCTGCTCAAGGCCTCGGCAGCCAAATGAGCACGCTTGCTGTCCATCTTTTTCTAAGAGTATGGGGAGCCTTGCTCCTTAGGGTCTCAGAGCAACACTGATATTCTGGGGCCATGTTTCCAGCCCTGAGATGAGCTATAAAGGTATTTGAACATTTCCCTGGCCTTCCAGGGCCCAAAAACAGTCAAGTCAGGAACAGAAGCTCACTTTATAGAGGGTTGGTGTACTGGCTGGGAGGACCTTGGCATTGCACTTCATAGAATAAGAGGAGTTGTGTGGTCTGTCTCCTGGGATCTTAGAATGTCCGTCTCCTTGTGATTTTAAAAAGATCCATGGGCCTCTTGCGGCTGAGGAGGCTATCCTGAGGGACAGGCCTAGAACAGTCTCTGGGAGAAGGCATCTTGAGGTACCATTTTTCTGCAAATGTAAGGGGAGTTCACAGTTTGGATCTGTTGCTGTAATCCATTTTACCCAGCCTAGACTAAGAGAAAGCCGGGAATAGGAAACTAAGGAGCACGTGTTGAAACAGGCCCTCTGAGTGAAACAGGAATAGGAAAAAAACTGTTTTAGGAAATGATGTGCATATATCAGAAACCAACTATGAACGTCAAGTAGAGAAATATTTTTCCATTAAAGCACAGAACCCGCTGGAATGTGCAACTGCTGGTCTGGGAATCTGACTACTGAATGACAGGAGGGACACCTGCTTCCGGCAGCCCCCTGGCTGGACTGCAGGGAAAGGAACCATTTAGGGGAAGGCTCTTGGGTTTAAAGATCAAATTTTCTGGCAAGGAAAAATAACCTACCTGTGCCCATGTGAAAATCAGCTTCTCCCAGACACTGAGACCAGGTGTATGATTAATTTTTTATTCCCTCCATGTTTCTGAAGCAGTTCATGACCAGCACAGTGCTTTGGGAACATTTGTTTTTTAACAATAGATGGAAGCATTTCTTTAAGAAAAAGGCATATGTTCCTCGAATAGGTAAGAAAAGCTCCCCCACCCCCCACTGCTGGATGGAGCACAGTCCCCATGAGGACCCAAACTGGTACCCTAGAAACACTTAGCAAAGCAACCCTTAGCCTCCCTGACCCCCTCCCCTAGCAGCTGAGATGAGGGCAACATATTCCTCACAGGTCATTTGATCTTGAGGTCCTTCAAAGCTGATTCCAGGCTCTGAAAGGAGACAAGCAGAACAGGCCGGTTCTCGGTGGTCCTGACACACCCCACCCGCAGGGACCTTGCCCTCCCTCATCCCAGCCCTAAAGGGAGATGCCCCAGAGAGTGCCCCTCATTGCTCCCGTAGTCCCAAAGGAGTGCCCTTCTGTAGGAATGGATGGGACGTTCCAGTGCGGAGGGGGAGGAAGGGCCACACTGGGACAGGCCTCACCTTCACGTCCCAGATGCTCATGCCACCGTCCATGCCTGTGGTGCAGAACTGGGAGCACTTGGCCTTTCCCCCGGTGAGCACCGAGATCTGGCTGCAAAGAGGACAAGGGCTTGATGGGTCCCGGCCTGTGTCCTGCTGGACTGGAGCCCGCCTGCCCTCCCGGAGCTCCCACCCTCCTGGGGCAGCTGTTTCCAGTGAGACCCGCAGGGGTGTGCTGTTGGGGCGCCTGGCAGAGAGCCCGGGAGGTGGGCTGCGAAGGGTCACAGAGGATGGGGCTTGTGAGTCTGCTCTGAGGAGAAGTGCACACGGAGCCGAGGGAAGCCCAGGCAAGTGGAACAGGACGTGCAGAGGCCTGGGCAGGGCCTGTGTCATGTGTGGGGGGAGGGTACAGAGTGGCAGGACTGTGGCTGGATGGGGAAAAACCAAAATGTAGGGCTGGGAAGACATACCTCTGAAAGGGGACACAGGTGGAGTCTGAAAAGGACACCGGACCTGGTGGCTATGGGAGGGCTTAACCGGCCACACTTCTCCCCGGTTTACTGTGGGGCAGACCTTTGTGGCTTGCAGGATTTGGGAGTTGTGGTAGGTCTCTGGCTCCCTCCTGATTCCTCAGGGAGGTGGCAGCCTCAGGCTGGGGCCATCCAGGGAGCTGCTACGATGGTCCCCACATAGCCAGGACTAAAAATGTAGAGCACGCGGACTGCTCTGTCCCCACCTGATGCTAGTTTTGTGCAACCTAGAGGTTACCCTGCTCCCTAAATCAGGGCCCCCACCTTGACCCTGCTGGGAGGAGAGTCCAGGTCGGCCCCACCCTCACCTCACACTGTTCTTGTGCAGTGAGTCCAGGCCTGAGCCAGCAGCCGCACCACCCTCCGAGCTCGCCTTCTTGTCCAGGTTCTGGAAGCGCTCGCGAGCCGTCAGGCCACGCTGCGAGCTTTGCTTGGGCACGTCCAGCCGCCCGCCGAAGCTCAGCGTCCCTGTGGCGCTATCGTAGGTAAACAGCACTGGGAAACAGTCGTGGCCCTGCAGCAGGGTGGGGGTGCCATTGGAGCACTGGCTGAGGGCTGGCACAGCACCCCCACTTGAAGCATCGGGATCCACGGCTGGAGGCAAGACCTGACATGGCGGGGGTGGGGGTGGGGGGGGAGGGTCTGGCCAGGGGTCGGGAGCGTGGGGGACTCTGGTGGAGCCAGTGGGAAGCCAGTGCCAGCTCAGAGACACAGCCGGGCGGACCCCAGGTACACAACAGGGACTGGGTGTTGGGGGTGAGCATCTAGGGGTGGCCTCTTCCCCCAGCAAGGCCAGTGAACAGTCGAGAAAGCTTGTCTGGGACTCCCCTGGAAACCCAGGGACTTTCTGCCCTGCCCAAGTAGCCATACCCTCTCTGGGACTGGATGCTTCTGTAGGCAGAATAGGCCCGGTCCCCCTCTGGGACCCAAGTATATTTGCTGAGGGCGGAAAGGGGACTTGATGGATAAGTGGCCAGAAGGAAGGAAGGAGGGAGGGAGGGCAGTATGCTTCTGGATGCATGGTTCGACTGTATGGCTGCCACACACCTACTGAGTTAGGCGTGACCCTGTAATTTCCACTGGCCCGTGAGATGTAAGCAGAAACCTCAGGGTCCAGGACGTGATTCTCCACTTTCCCCTTCTCCCTCCAAGGCAGGGGAGAGCGTGGTGGAGACAAAGTGTTCACCTGCACCGGGCAGGGCCCCTCACAACATGCACACTGTGTTAAGTCATAGCAACCGGGCGCTGTTAGTGTGGCCTAACCAGCCCATTCTGACCACAGATTGATGGCTGGCTGGCTGGAGGAAGGAAGGAAGGAAGGAGGAGGTCAGGGGGAGGCCAGTGGAGGGCTGCTTGGCCATGTCTGGGAGACCTGTTCTCACTAGCACCGCTCCCCTCCCTGCCTTACCGCTGCTACCAGACTGTTCTCAGTGATGAAGGTCAGGGCCAACAGCGGCAATGTTTCAGAGGCCAGAGTTGCGACGCTGAGAGAGAGAGAGAGAGAGAGAGAGAGAGAGAGAGAGAGGTTAGCCACTCTGCCCCTGCCTGCTCTGTGCCTCCATTGACCCCCACTCTGCTGGCCTGTACTCACGCCATTTTCTTGTCGGCATCAGCCAGGCACACGGTGCTGTCATGGCTGACCCAGGCCACACGGCTGCCACTGGCCGAGAAGCAGACGCCATGCACCCAGCCACAGCTACTGGTGGACTCAAACATGAGCTCCCCAAACGGCATTTTGGAGCCCCAAGGGGTGGGTGCTGGCCGCTCCTCCACCTCCTTGATGTAGGCTGAGAAGATCCTGCCAGGAGAGACCAGGAGAAACAAAACCTGGGTGACTGGGGGTCTGGGAGGGACTGACCAGGGACTCCCTGTCGCAAATTGGCCTGCTGAGGTCAGTACCCAGCTAGGGGCTTGTGGGTGCCACAGCCAGCTTTTCATGCCCTGCATCTTCATGCTTGGATGCGTCTGGGCCTCAGTGAGGGTGAGTCCCGGCTCTGTGTCTGTAACTCCCAGGGCCCTTGGGCCCCCATTGGAGGATTGACCGTGTATGGCTGACACGGCCCCCAGGGTGTCCTGGTCCCCATCACGCTGGCCCCTGTGGATGCCTCTCCTCCTCCCTGCTCTGTAGGTGAAAGCAGCCCCGCTTTCTGAGGGCCAACAGGGGGTCCACCTGACAGGTCATGGTGCCAGCAAACCAGCTCCCCCCACCACCCAACAGAGCCTCATCAGGACGTTCCCTCTGTGTCAGGGGCCTCCAAAGGGGCCTCCAGAGCCTGCTGCAGCCATGTGCCTGGAGTTGGGAGCCAGAGGCCTCAGGAGACCCGGGCTCTGGGCCCAGAAGTGACAAACCACCAGTAGCCACCGGAGGCTACATTCCAGGCCCAAGATAAGAGAGCAGGAGTTTGTCTCAGCTGCTCAGTCATTGTCCTCCAGATGGAAGACAAGGAAACCGAAGGAGGAGGGCTCTAATAAGCAGAAGAGGAAGGCCCAGCAAAGAGTCCTTGCTGACACCGAGAGGCAACAAGGGATGCATCCTGCAAGACTCTCCAAGGGCTGGAGACGGGACCCAGTGATGACCCTTCTCGAAAAGCAAAACCTCTTGGAAGCCAGGCTGAGGCCCTGAGTGAGCCGGCAGAGCTGGTCTAGGACACGGGGCATAGGCCTCCCTCCACCCTCTCTCTGATCCTAGTTCCCACGTTGACATCCAGATCCCACCCGCTTACCGGCACTTGAAGTCGCAGGAGCCCGCAGCCAGGAGCACATTGTTGGGGTGCCAGTCCAGGCTGAGGACCGTGGAGCGGATGGGCTTCTTGATGTGCTTGCACACCCACCTGGACACAACAGATGGGGGTAGGGGGGAGATAGGCAAGCTCAGCACCCACGGCCTCTGTGCCCCTGGACTCCACCTTCCCACGCCCCCCACCCCCTGGCAAGGTCCATGAGGGAGAGGCCTGGACGCTGCCAGCCTACCAGCCTGCCTGGGCCCGGATCAGGCCAGTGATGTGCTGAGTGTCCTCCAGGGTCGGACTTCTATCCCTGATCTCCTTTAAGCCCCATGACAACCTAGGTGGCTCAGTCAGTTAAGCATCCAACTTGAGCTCAGGTCATGATCTTGAGGTCCATGAGTTTGAGCCCCACATTGGGCTCTGTGCTGAGAGAGCCTAGAGCCTGCTTTGGATTCTGTGTCTCCCTCTCTTTTGGAATCGGTTTCCCTCTCTGCCCCTACCCCACTTGTGCTCTGTCTCGCTCTCAAAAATAAATAAATAAATAAATAAACCGCATGACAACCTGGGAGCAGGCTCAGTGGAGTTACAGCAGCCGGCTGGCTGGGGTGCAGTGTGATCTCAGGTCTCCCAGATTCCAGCCTCTCCTCTGCCCCCAGGGACCCAGGGGAAGAGGTCCAGGGCTACAACGTGGCCCTGGAGCATGACAGACAGGCTGGACATCTTGGGCAAGTGACTGCCTCAGAGCCTTCCTTTACTCATCTGTAAAGTGGGGACAACAGATGCCCAGTCCAGGGGGCTGTCAGGAAGTCAGTGCCAGTATATAGGCAGGGCTTTACACATGCCCACCGAGCAGTCGTGATGCGGTCTGTGCCCTCATCACCAGGACAAGGCTGGGGGGGTGCCCCTCGCCTGTGAGGCCCTACTTCGTGAGGGTCACGTGAACAGGACTCCTGACACACCACCCAGTGCTTCCTGGAATACCAGCCCCACTGCCTGTTAGTCTGCAGCCCCCAGAGTTCCCCCCAACCCACTCCCAACCCTCCCAAGTACCCACCAGTCATTTTCCTGCTCAAAATAGCAGATGGAGATGACACGGGAGCCACTACCCACAGCAAACTTGTTCTCGTTGGGGGCCCAGCGCACACAGCGGGCAGCTCGGTTGATCCGCAGAATGACCAGCGTGGGCTTCCACGTGCGGCCCTTCAACGTCCACACATAGGCGTTGCGGTCTGTGCCGCAGGTCACAATCCGGTTACTCTCGGGGGCCCAATCGATGCCTGTGGGGCAAGGAGGAACACTGGGCTGAAGCCGTCCTACAGAGGTGGCTCTACAGCACCATGGAGGAGGGGATTAGAAGACACAATCTGGATGAAAGGTGCTCCAGGGGATGCTACTAGAACTTCTTGAGAGTGTTACAGCTCTCCAAAATATCACCAAACATGGAAAGCCAATAAACAGAAAAGAAATAGGTCCTTTGTAACTCTGAGCTGAGCTGCTGGATCGAGCCTTTCCTGAAGCCCAGAAACCTCTTTGAGGTTTTCAGTAATATGAGGCAATGTGATCCCTTCTAAGCCAGTTTGAATTAGGGTTGTGTTGCTTGCAACCCGAACTGTCCTACCTAACACAATGATTGGGAGAATGGCCCTAGCTGGTCCTGTCCCATCCCCCTGCCTCCTTTCAGGAGAGTGACCATAGTCAGTCTGACGCACCTGTCACCTGCCCATTGTGCTCCTTGAGCTCATGTACCTTGACCCACTTGGCCCCACTCTTCTCATAGATGTGCACCTCGTGGTTGTTGGGGCAGATGGCAATTTCTGTAGGAGAAGAGGGGAGGGAAGAGGAGTGAGGAGGCATGTGTGTCCAGGTTCCCCCTTCTCTCATGACTCCCCTCTACCAGGAACACCCTTCACAGGCCACCTGGGAAATACCTCGTCCTTCAATGCCTTGGTGGGAGGTTCCCTGAAACACCTTGTGACCCCTCCCCAGGGGATAGCCATCCTTTACCCGTACCCACTACCCCCAGGCACCCCCACAGTGGTCTCATGACCTCTGGGAGCTCTCCCCTCCCTCCGCTACTGCCCTCTGCTCCCCAGCTCCAGCCCTGGGGTCCTTGGTGCTCCTGCCTTGGGGCCTCAGCATGGCTGGCTCCCTAGCCTCCTCTGTGTCTCTGTGCACATGTCCCCTCCTCCCAGCCGTCTTTTCTAAACCAGCGCATCTGCCTGTCATGCTTTCCCCTCCTCCTGTATGTTTTTCTTCACCACTCATGTCACTGCAGGCTGTCTTCACCTATCACCCCCAGCCTGGGAGCCCAAGCGGCACCTGCAGCAGGTGCAGGGCTGTGCCATCACCTCCACCCTGCGAGCTCCACCTCCATCCGCTCTTACACCAGGACCGGAGATGAAGCGGAGGTCAGCCAGTCCCCAGAGCCACAGGCCGGAGGGCTCCCGCCCCTCCCCCCTCGGTCCTCGGGCACTCACGGGTGCGGTCCTTGTTCCAGGCGTGGCAGCTGATGGGCTCCACGAGGAAGCTGTGGTAAGCCATGGCCGCTCAGCTCCTGGCCTGAGAGAGGAAGGGACCCCAAGTCAGCCCTGCTTCTGATCCCAGACCAGGCCCCCAGCCAATCCCGTGGGCGGGTAGCGCTTCCCAACTTCCAATGCCGCTTCCTTCCCCGCGTGGGGTGTGCCAACCCTGCGCCCTGTCGGCTGCTCATCACCTGCGCCTCAGTTTCCTCATAGGTAGAGCGGCCCCCAGGAAGGATGGGGGCATTTTGTGAAGACAAAATGCAGGTGGTGCCCAGCACGCAGCAGACAGCCTTCCACACCCAGAGCTCTGGTTGTCAGGAGAGGGGGGAGGAGGAGGAGGAGGAGGAGGAGGAGGAGGAGGAGGAGGAGGAGGAGGTGGTGGTGGTGGAGGAGGAGGAGGTGGAGGAGGAGGCAGGTCTGCCCTTTCTCATCCAGAAAACCCTTCAAGGGGAGGAGGGGTGGGACGGGCCCAGAGTGGGTGGTCGGGCTGTGGGGGTAAAGGCAGGTACAGCTGGGTACACCCCCAGAACTGGGCCCAGCACTGACCGCACCTCCCCACCCCCTTCTCAGGCCATGCTGCTGAACTTCAGAGAAGCCCACTGAGCCTGAAGTGAGCCTTGTGTACCCCATAGGCAGTCCTCTCACCCCCACCCCTGCCTCCCCAGCTCTGCCCACCCCTGTTCCATTTGGCAAACCCTGCTCACGCTCTCTGAACCTCAATGTCCACATCTGCAAAATGGGAACAGGAATCCTGTCCCTGGAGGCGTTAAGAGGGTAAAATAGGATGATATGCCATGCCTGGCACATAGTAGGTATTCATGAAATGACAGCTCCCTCAGGGTAACACCCAGCCATGGTCCACCCATGTAGGGGGGTCTGTCTCCCTTGCTAGACCTGTGGCTGATCCCGGGGCACACAGGCCTCAGGCCTCCTAAGCTCCATCCCCAGCTGCCTGCATGGGGACCTCTTGCCACTGCCCTGTGTAAGTCTGTGTTCCAACGACACCTTCTCAGCGAGGCCCTCTCTGACGGCTGATTTGAAACTGCGGCCACCTTCCCCTACCCCAGCACTACCTCTTCCTGACTGAACCTTCTCCACAGAGAACCCTCAGGGAACACTCATTACACTGAACTCACTTCCTTCACCTGGTCTCTGCCTTGGCTGGGACAGACATTTTCCACTTATCTTGTTCACATTTCTTTCCCCGGTGCCTAAATGCTTGGCACGTAGTAGGTGCTTGGTAAGTATGTAAGGAACACAACTGTTTATGGTCACTAAGTGTCCAGGAGAGTAAGTTCTTCATTAAAAAAATTTAAAAGTGGGTGGCTAAGTGGCTCATTTGGGTAAGCGTCTGACTCTTGGATTTCAGCTCAGGTCATGATCTCTCACGGCTTACGGATTCGAGCCCCGCGTCAGGCTCTGTAGTGACAGCGTGGAGCCTGCTTGGGATCTCTCTCTCCTTCTCTCTCTGCCTCTCCCCTGCTTGCACGTGCTCTGCCTCAAAATAAACAAACATTTAAAAAATTTAAAAAAAAATTTTTTTAGGGGCGCCTAGGTGGCTTAGTCAGTTAAGTGTCCGACTTTCGCTTGGGTCATGATCTCACGGTTCGTGGGTTCGAGCCCCGCGTCGGGCTCTGTGCTGACTGCCAGCTCAGAGCCTGGAGCCTGTGTCAGTCTGTGACTCCCTCTCTCTCTGACCCTCCCCTGCTCACGCTGTCTCTCTCTCTCCTAGAAATAAATTAAAAAAATATATATTTTTTTAATACCACCACCCAACATTTCCTGAATGCTCCTTACCTGCCCGCTCTAAACAGTCCAGATAGTATTTTTTTTTTAATTTTTTTAAATGTTTTATTTATTTCTAGGAGAGAGAGAGACAGCGTGAGCAGGGGAGGGTCAGAGAGAGAGGGAGTCACAGACTGAAACAGGCTCCAGGCTCTGAGCTGGCAGTCAGCACAGAGCCCGACGTGGGGCTCGAACCCACGAACCGCGAGATCATGACCTAAGCGAAAGTCGGACACTTAAACGACTAAGCCACCCAGGCGCCCCCAGATAGTATATTTTTAATTCCAGTATAATTAACAGTGTTAGTGCCAGGTGTGTAACATAGCGACTCAATCATTCTGTATATTTCTCGGTACTCAGCAAGGTAAGCTCACCCACGTGGCTGGCCAGGAGGCCCTGCTGGAAGGGACAGCACTGAGTTGGGGCCCAGGCAGAGGAGAGGGACCAGCTGCACGTAGCCCACCGTACAGTTGAGAAATCAGGGGCTCAGGGACCAGCTGGCCTGAGGTGGCACCGCACATCTTGCTGGGCCCAGCAGGTCAGGAGGACCTGACCCCCAGGTCCTCCCAGCCCAGATGCAACGCCTGTTTTCATTTATACCAGGAAGTTCTGGAAGGTTCCTGGGGCAGCCCAGTTCACAGACACACATGCATGTACAGGGCAGGGACATGCCTGGAGCAGGGCACCAGGCGCCAGGTGGGTCCTCAGTCAGCACTGCTGAGAGAGCTGATGCACCTGCAGCCCAGGCTCCAGCCACACACGATCACGCGTGTTCAGTCTTGTACACACACATGCACATACATACACTGCTCCCACGTGCTTACACATCTTCAGCTGCGCACGCACACACAAGCACACTGCTCCCATATGCTCACGCATTTTCACCCATGCACACACACGCTTAAGCATTCACGTGTGTTCAGCCATACACACAAAATACATGACATTCATGCGTGTTTAGGCTTGCACACACACAAGCACACTGCTCCCGTGTGCTCACGCGTGATCAGCTGTGCGCACACATAAGCACACTGCTCCCGCACACTCGCACGTGTTCAGCCCTGCACGCACACACACAAGCACTGTGCTCCCACCATGGCTACTTCCCCAGCCTCTCCTTATAAGGCCTCTTTGTGGAAGGCAAAGGCCCCCCCCGGAAGTGGCGCTTCAGGGCGGGGCCCAGCTCAGGTCAGCAGGCCCGATGGGGATTTCCCCTGGCACTTCCGGAGCCTCCAGGCTGGGTCAGCACTGGCACTAGCTTGGCTGGGGCACTTCATCGCCGTCCACACCGCAGGTGACAAGACTAAGAAGTGGGCGCTCCAGGCCTACCTGAGCACTGTCCTGCCCTCATCTGCCCACCCCCATTTTCCACGGTCACCAGTGGGGCAGAGACCAGGCAGAGCCCCACTTCTATCCTCCAGCGGGGCTCTCGGGGCTGCTGAACTCCAGCTGAGGCCAGCCAGCCCCTACCCCTTCAGCCCCTGGTGGCCCAGGAGGAAGGACCCCTGTGGCTACAGCCCCGGGGGTCTCTGGGCTTCACCGATCCAACTGTCCCAGACGCTGTGGCCAGGTGTCTCTGCTCCTTGCAGGGTCTTGGTAAGAGTGTCTAGACACATGGGCCAGGCTATAAAAGCCCACCTAGGGAGGTGTTCGAGTCCCAGGCTGTGAAGATGGAGCGGTTGGCTCTGCTGAGACAGCAGCCCCCATACTACTGAATGACAGCCAAGAGGACTTGGGGAGCCTGACCATTGTTTCCTGGGACCCAAGGGGTCTCCAGTGGGAGAAGAAGGGGCTGATAAAGATGGCTACAGGCACAGTGGGACAGCCAGGGGTGGGAGGGTCAGACCGCATCGATCAGCCAATCACACTTCAGCATGAATTCATTCGGAAACACTCCTGGTACACTGAATCAACACCTTAAAGGGGGTAGAGGGTACATACAGGAAGAGAATGGGAGAGAAGGTGCATTTTCCTCTTTTCATCACTTTTTCGTAACTTCTGCAAAGCAACTAAAAAGCCATCAGGGCCTCAGCAATGACTCCCAACCCCCACAGTGCAAATGAGGAAGTGGACACCCAGAGGGAGGAGTAGCGCCTCTGGCCACTCTGGCCTTGGGGGCTGTATCCTCCGAGAGAAGAGAAGAATCACTGGATTGTTCCCTGCGGTCAGAGGCAGTGAAGCCGACTTCACACGGGGCCACCCAGCCACGGGGAGCTTGGACTGTATTACTCCCAGGAAAATCTCCACGGGGGTGTGGGGAGCACCCACTCCCAGCCAGCCACCCTGAGGAAGATGCAACTAGGGCTACAACTGGTGGGTGGACAACGCGGTGCTTCAGCAGTGGCTCCTAGAAGAGATCAAGGGCAGGCTGGGGCCGTGGCCTCCAGGACACCCACCCACTTGTTACTGCGGCCCTGAGAGCCAGCACCGTGGGCCCATAGGACTGTTGGGGACAGGGAGAGGAAAGGGGCCCTGGGGATGCTGTTGAGACCACAAGTCCGTGTGCAGGGCTCTGGGTCTGATTACCCCAGAAACAGAGGCAGGGGGAGTGTGGGCCAAACCCCGAGTCTCCCCCGCACCCCGCTGGCTCCCCTCTGCCAGTCTGAAGCCAGGATCTCGGTGTTCCCAGAAGCACTTCCCCTGCGTCCTTCCAGCACACAGTGAATGCTCAGTATGAATGGACTGGAGATCACTAAGGGCTGGGAGTGGGAGAGCACAGGTAAGAGTGGTGAGGACTGGGGGTAGGGGGATGGGTCTCCAAAGTCGGGTGTGGGGTTCCCTGCAGAGGGTGCCAGAGACCACGCACTGAGGTAGGGGTAGGGTATGTGCTTTGTTCACCGATGTACTCCCAACACCAATTAGAGTGGCTGGCACAGAGTAGGTGCTCAATAAATATCTCTTGAATGTGGTTGAATGAATCCCATCCTTTTCTTCTGGGGACAGGTTATAAGGAATGAATATGCATCATTATTTCAGTGGCATATGTATTTCAGTGGCAATTTGTAAATATTTACCGGGGAGTATGAGCTCAGGTTTTGTTTTTTTTTTCCTGATTAGGGTCAGCACTCAGGAAAGCTTGGAAACCTGAAATCAAGAAAGTCCTCTCTGAGGATTTAAGAAGAACTCAGTTCCCCTCCAAAGCAAAGCAAGGCAGGTAAAGTCTTGGGCCAGGCTGTCTTCCTTACTACAGTGCTGGGGTTAAATTCTGACTCTCTCCATGGATACCCTTAGTTTATACTTTCTTCACATCTGTATCAGAAAAGCCTGGGGCTGAACAAGGCACTGGCTATAGGCTCCTTATTGCTTCAGTTTCTCTGAATCCAGAGAATGGTTTGGCCACATTCGAGGCTAACCAGGGCGGAGCTGTCTGGAGGAGGATCCTGGCCCTACAGGCACTCAGGGAAGTCCCCACCCAGCTCAGACGCTCCAGGGAGCTGCCAGCAAGCCATTTTGCACACGTGCTAAGCAGTTACTCAGCTTCCTGTTATGTATGGAACAGCCCTTGCCACCCCAAACAGACCAGCCAGCCTCTCCTCCCCAGCTCTGCTCCTGAAGTCTTACAAACCAGCCAAAGTAAAGTCAGGAAACATAAATGAAAACAATCATAGAAAGGCACCATAAAGCTTGATAAAACAACCCAAACAAAAACAAAATCCAAAAACACATAAAACTCCATGTCAGCAGGGTTGTGGAGAAATGCTCATTTGTTGCTAAGTTGTTCAGCCTTTCTGAGGAGCAACATCTGGGTAGAAACAAACAGAAGAACATGAGCAGAAACTGAAAAATTAATACACTTTGCTGGCATAAATTCATTTTGGTGCTAAGCAAATAGCCACCGACTTTTTTTTTTAAGCAAACATATTCATAATAACCCCTTCAGAATGGTGGAAGGAGTGGAAAAACCCAGGTGACTACAAATATGAAAAGAGTTGTGACACTAACACATTAGGATACCATTTAGCTATTTGAAAAGACCTATGTGGATTACGTGCAAAGACACACATAAACTAACTTTCTTGGCGTCTTTAAATGCCCAATATTTACCCAAGACTGACATACATTCTCTTTTACCCCCTAAAGCTAGCCTAAGAAGTTATTTGGATGTTTGCTTTCTAAACCTTCATTTTGTACAGGAGGAAACAGAGCTAGACAAAAGCCACGATTTGCTCAAAGCCACATGGCTCCTCTAGGGCAGTTTCGGATTCTGACCCCAAATCTCGGAAGGTTGGCATCATCTGGACACTGATAAATGTGGGCAGGCCTTATCACAGTAGTGGCAACAATAAATAGGGGCACACATTGTTCTCCCGTGTGTGCGTGGCACACTGCCAAGTGCCTTCTACACATTATCCCATCTAAGCCTCACAACTTGAAAGGTTCCCATTTTACAGATCAGGAAGGTTGGGCCCAGAGAAGTTAGGTGGCTTGCTCAGGTCCTGGGCCAGTGAAGGAATCTGGCAGTCTGTTCCCGGTCCGGGGCCTCACCCAGAATGGGCACACTTAACCCCTGGGCAGCGTTGCCTGCCCTGCGCGGCGAGTCTGGGGCCAGCCTGGAAGAACCCGGGGAGCGCCTCCCGCTCCATTCCGTGCTAGGCGGGCTCCGGGGCTTCCTGCCAGTCTTCCCAGTGTTACAGTCACCGCCCTGGGCGGCTCTCCCCACTGCCCGCGAAGAAGGGGCTGCTGGGTCCCGCGTTCGGGGCCCTCCCGGTAGGGATCGCGGACCCAGCCCCAAGCCCCGGGGCTGTCTGGGGGCCGGGGAGGTGGCTGGGGGGCGGGGTCGCCAGCTCATTTCCCGGTCGGAGCAACCCGGAAGGCTGGAGGATGGAGGGGAAGTGACTGGGCGTGGGGCCCTCGCGGCCCGAAATAACGGGGGACACCGATCTCGGGGCAGAATCAGGGAGGAGCGGCCGGGGCAGGGGGAACGGGGCGCAAGGGACACGGGGGGCCGGAACCTCCCCAAGAGCGCCGGGGGCAGGGAACCCTGCATCTCCCTCACCCGGAGGGGAACTCCACCCGCTGGCCGCCTCACCTCCAGGCGACACCACGCACCTGGCGAGCCAGCAGCCCCGTGTCCACTCACCCAGGCGACCCCTCCCCGCGCCCCCACGTCTTCGGGCCCCCTGTAACCCTCTCCACCTGCATGCAACTCCCCGCCCCCTCTCCTCTGGGGGGCCCCCTCCCCTCCGGACGTCCCCAGCCCCCTCACCTCGGGGCGTCCCGGCCGCGGACTCTGGGCAGTCGACGCGCCGAACCGGCTCTGGGCCCCTAGCGGCGCAGCAGCCACTTCCTCGTGGGCGGGGGGCGGGGCCTCCCGGCCTCAGCCCCGCGGGGACGGGGGCGGTGACCAGGGCGCGAGATCCCAGGCCCCGCCCACCCATCCGGGGTGGGGGCCGCACCGAGCCAGGGCGCCCAGAAATCGTCCGCGACCGCCCCTCACTACTTTATGCGTGGGGAAACTGAGGCTCGGAGAGACGCGCACAGCGCGAGCAGCAGTTGCGCGGGAAGCCGGGAGCTGGGCGGGGTGCGCGCGTCCCCACCGCCGCGAGAGCGTCCTCTCCATCCTTCGCCAGCGAGCTGATACCCACAGGGCGCAAAAAGTGCAAGCCCGGAAGCGGGTGTAGTCAGGAAGGCGAGGCCCTCCCCGCGCTCACGGCAAAATGCGCCCCGGGCGGGGGTGCCCGCCGGCCTCTTGCAGAGCCGCTTGAATTTGGGTCTTAGGCCAAGTGGTCCCCAGGGGTTCTCTCCATCCCCAGCCTCGGCCTCATCAGTGCAGATGCGCCCGGTGCCTCCCAGATGCGGGAGCCCCTGGTGAAAACGCCGTTGCGCCCTGGCAGTCGGTCAGGCCCCTAACCCTAGTAGCCCTCTCTCCCAGCCAGCCAGGCGGCAGGCAGCAGATGGGGTGTGGGGTCCTCGGAGGTCTCGCGGCTTTAACTCATGCTGTCCTTTCGGCCTAGAACACTTTTCCTGCCCTGTCCCCACCCGGACAAGTTCAGTTCATCCTGCAGGACGTGTCTCTTAGGTCATTTTGTCCACAACCCGCTCCCCCACTGGGGGTGTTCGCTGTCGGCTGGACTCCCAGCTCCTGTACGCTGAATTCTGCTCTCTGCCGTGTGGTTGGGAGGATTCCAGGGATCCCAACACGGGAGCACTTCCTGTAGTGAGCACACGGAGCTCAGCAAACTTAACTCCAGAGGCTTGTAGGACTCTAAGCCCTCCCGGATCTGAGGAGATACTGAAGGGCTGTTACCCGCCCTCCCCACTAGCTGTGGCCAATCCCAGAGATGGCTTCCGTCTCCTCAGAAAAAAGTTTCAGGTGGTCTGTACCGGCATCCCCTTCTTGTGGGGACAAGAGCAGCTTAATACTGAGGCGGCATCTGGTGCATCCCTGGTTTCTAGATGCCCAGGAAATGACCCCAGGTGGGACTGACTCTCCACCTCCGGAACCAGGCTGAGGGCTCTAACCCAGCTGGCTCCTGCTGTCCCCTGTCCTGAGCTCAAGACCTAAGACAGCCTGGGGCAAAGCAAGGCCCAGGGAGTAGGGTGGAAGGCAAAGAGGACCCTTCTAGGTGAGCCTCGTGAGCCTGAACACGGAAGTGGATCAGCCGCAAGGGAAGCTGACGACATAGGTAGAGCTCAGGTGGAGAAAATCCCAGAGAAATGCCCAGCACCCTGGTTAACCTCTGACTGGTCAGCTTGAGCCCAGCCTGCTTCCAGAGGTTTCGGACAGGTGAACCAAAGAATCAATTTTATTATTTAAGCTGGTTTCAATTGAGACTTTGTTACCGGTTGCCAAAAGCATCCTGACAAATGTGAACACCTGAGGATTCTCTTCTCATTGTGTAAGCTGAGCTTGTAAACAGTGGGAACAGAAACTGGGGCGCCTGGGTGGCCACGCTGACAACAAAGAGCCTGCTTGGGATTCTCTCCCTCTCTCTCTCAAAATTGCAGGAGTTAATGAAGGAAGGAGCCCCAACAAGTGGCACTAGAAAATGGAGCTTCAGGCAAATCGTGCTTCTTGCTGCGCCTAGGTCACAATCTATGAAGTGAGGCTGCCTCAGTGTAAGTGCTGCAACCCCCTCACAGGCCTGGGGCCATTGTGGGCTGACCCAACAGGATGGGAAGGCACACCTCACACCGCGAAGCCATGGGAGGGGTTACTTAAAACCGCTCCCTTCTGGGATCAAAGTTCTTCAAGCCTTAAGTGAGGCGACTCCTGAGTGAGGGGGGCCTGGGCGGGAAGGCTTTCACACAGAGCTCTGGGAACACCCCAGAGAGCTTGTTTCTTGCTGGAAACTGCGTCCCCTGGGACCCTGGGGTGAAGATACTGCATTCCCCCTTCTCAGGTTTCCAAGAAATGCAGCTACACACCCAGGCTGGCTTGGGGGAAGGCAGCCATTCAGGGGCTGGGGCAATATCCCCAGGTCATCAAGGTTCTTTCCGGCTTTCTGTTCCACCTCCTTGCTGCCTCCTGGTCACAAGAGGGCAGCCGAGCTCCAGGCATCTGGACTCCAGAAGTGGTGGGCTGGCCCGCACAGCGGGGAGACCAGGGAAGAGGACCTGGCCCAGAAGCACCCAGTCTAGCTCTGAGTCTCAGCATGTGCCCACCCCCGACTGGGGACCAAGGGTCTCTGTCCCTGAGATCAAAGGACTGCCACTTGATCCCTGTGAGGGGGAAGAGGAGAAACCACCCTCGTGTCTTCTTTCCGAGGCCACACATGTGGGTGAGGCGGACAAAGCCCAGGAGGACAGAAGTCCACTGCACAGAGGCCCAGAACACGCTTAGCATTCCACGTGGACCCCGATGGGGGCAGCACCTGTTGAACACCCCCTGCCAAACCACATGGTTTTATATCTGTGCAGTTGGAAATTCTAACAAAACCCCACAAGGTACAAGTTGGAAGGGTCCCCTCCCATCACTTTCAATGACCTTGCCCACCCCTGAGTTTGGTCACTAGGCATCTGCACTCCCAGCCTAAGCCCAGCAGGGGGCATGCTCAGCAGTTACCACCAAGGCTCTAGTGAGCCTGCTCCAATGTGGGCCAGCTCTGGCCTGGTTTTGTGTCTTTCAATGTGCCACAGGGGCGCCTGGGTGGCTCAGTGGGTTAAGTGTCCGACTCATGATTTTGGCTCCGGTCATGATCTCAGGGTCGTGACACTGAGCCCCGTGTTGGGCTCCGTGCTTTGAGTCCAGACTCTTGGGCTTCTCTTTCTCTGCTCCTCCCTGCTCCACCACTCACACTCTTTCTCTCAAAATAAACAAGTAAGCATTAAAAATAAATAAAAATTGGCAATACCAGTTCCAGCCCTACAAGGTTGTTGTGAACAGTTAATGCCTAACTGCTTGTGCTGGTGCCCAGTCCAGGATTCCACCCGTAGCACGTCAAAGGTGTGTGGCTACAGCACCCTTCCTGGGACCCCCTAAGGGGACTGACATTACAGTGGTGGCTTTCAAACTTTTATTTTATTTTTTATGGCTTTATTTTATTTTGAGATAAAGAGACAGAGAGTGAACGGGGGAGGGGCAGAGAGAGAGGGAGACACAGAATCCGAAGCAGGCTTCAGGCTCTGAGCTGTCAGAACAAACCCTGATGCGGGGCTCGAATCCACGGACTATGAGATCATGACCTGAGCCGAAGTCGGACGCTTAACCGACTGAGCCAACCCAGGCACCTTTATTTTTTGAGAAAGAGAGAGAGAGAGAGAGAGAGAGAGAGAGAGAGAACATGTGCAAGCAGGGAAAGGGGCACAGAGAGAGGGAGAGAATCCCAAGCAGGTTCCACACGGTCAGTTCAGAGTCCAATGTGGGGCTTGAACACACGAACTGTGAGATCATGACCTGAACCGAAATCAAGAGTCAGAAGCTTAACAGACTGAGCCACCCAGGCGCCCCTCAAACTTCTAATCGTGACCTGCAGTGATATATACTGTGATCTTGTACATACCTCCATGTATATCCGAAACCTAGGTATCGCGACACACTTACTATAGCCACGAAAAATGTTTTCTCTGGTTTCAATCCTTCAAATGCCAGTCATGACTTACTAAATTGAGTTTTACAGCCACTGATGGGCTCTGACCCTCAAGTTGAAACACTGCTCTAGACCACACTTCCTTCCTTTTCCTGAACTGATCTCGTCTCTTAGTTTCCCATCACTGCTGGCGCAGCCTGCCACAAACAGGGAGGCTTACAACAACGCAAATGTGTTCTCTTACGTTTCTGGAGGTCAGAGTCCCCTGTCTCAGAGGGCAGGATGGCGCTCCTTCCGGAGGCTCCAAGGAAGACCTTGTTTCCTGGTCTTTTCCAGCTTCCAGAGGCCCTGGGCGTTCCTTGGCTCACTGGCCCAGCAACCGTCCAACCTGTGGCCGCATCTGACTCTCCTGCCTGCCTCCCTTTCCTAAGGGCCCCTGGGATTACACTGGGCCCACCTGGATAATCCAGGATCGTCTTCCGGTCTTGAGCTCTCTACTCAATTACATCTGCAAAGTTCACAGCTTCCAGGGATTAGGACGTGGACATCCTGGGGGGGCAGGTGCATTATTCTACCTACTGCACCCGGTATTTAATTACACATGCATAAATAAGCAACCTAACCTCATAATTTATATACTGATCTATACGGGACTTGAGTCCACATGGGGTCATCGTGCCTCAACCACACTGCAGGCACCTGGGGAAACCCTGGCCCTTCACACCTCTGCCTCCAGAGTTGGGCACATATGGCGCTGGGGCCAAACTGAAGAGTCATGTTTGAGCAATCACCCTGGGTTCTGAGGCGACCTCAGATTCTCTCAGAATACTCTGCAAGGAACTATTAAACTTTTCTTTAGTTAGCAAGAGCCTTCGCACACGGCTTCCTACTCTACCCCACTGTTATCTGGGGGCTACTATGGTGCCAAGCCTAAAAGCAAACCTCGACTTTACGAACAGGAATTACCAATTCCTGTTTTTTACTGCCATTTTACAGGTGAGGAGACTGAGGCTCAGAGAGGTCAACTATATTGCTCAAAGTCACACAACCTGGCAGAACTATAACCTGACGTCAGAGCCCAAAGGTTTGAATCAAAGGGCTTTGGCAGTCACCCGGAGGCCACCCAGATGAGTAGTGACTGTGGCCCTGGGCCTGGCCGGATTCTTGGAGCTAGTGAGAGGAAGAGGGGTGCACGGTATACAGCCGCCAGCACTGCAGGGCTGTGGGTTTCTGGCTGCCCTCACTGGGACGGGCCTTCCTCCTTGGAGGAGAAATGGCCCAAGTTAAGAACAAAAAGCCAACTCTGGCTAAATTATTGGAGGCAAAGTTAGAAACTCTCCTCTGTTAC